GGCCACGCGGAGTCTTGGCCTTTGTGAAGTCTTAGGGATCAGGGCCTGGGAGAGCGTGGGGCTGGGTCCCGCACGGCGGGGGAGTGGGACGGTGAGTTTCTGCGGCTGGGGGGCGGGCCCCGGGACCCGGTGGCGCCGAGATCGGCCGCTTTCCTCTCGGGTTAACGGTCCGGAGTGTAAAGAAACCCCCTCACCTTGTGGGCCCGAAGCCTTTTAGCATCGCTTTCAGGCGGGAAAGGTATGAACATGGTCGTGCTTGCTCAGGACCCTGCGGGAAATCTTGAGAAGTCGCCCAAGTGTTTTTTTTTTTTTTCTCCACTGATATTCATGGGTTAGAGTATCACATAGATACTCTGGATGTGGTTTTATTGTAACAATGATCGTGGTAGAGAAAAAATGTCCAGGGGGCAACCTGTTGACAGTGATATCTGTCAAGTATCTCATGGACTTGGGTTGCTCCTGGTAGGCATTTGATTTGCCGTTATTGCATGCTTGCATGTACCTTGTTGCCCGATGCTCCATGCTCCGCGGTCCAGTCTAGTGCTGGTGATCGGGAGGCCAACCACTAGGACGGGACCCGCCGTTTCCTGGCAGCAGAATATAGGCAAAACCCCCTCACGGGCCTTCGCTCACCAAAGGGAGTGAATGGTCAGTCGGTGGGGCTGCCTGTGAGTACAGGATGAGGCCCCTTGGAGGATGACAAAAGGAATGGATGAGGTCATTCTGCTGCTGGGGTCGGGCGGGAAGCCGCAGCAAGGGGAGGCTTGACCTAAAGGCAGCAGCCACAGCATTGTAACTTATCACAGCCGCGCCTCCATGCCAGCCCAGTAAGCGAAGGGTGCTGTCCAAGTGTGTTGGTGGTTTTATCCCCCGGGTCAGGGATCCGGGGAAGCCTGCTGTAAGCCTGCTGCTGGCTTACTGTCTACTTGGCAAGCACGATCTGCATGTGTTCAGGCAGCTGAAGCAGTGGTGAGGCCCGCGATGGGGAGAACCCTCCTTTGAGTTCTCTGTGGTCAGGCACTGTGTGGGACAGTTCCCAAATGTTGTTTTATAGTTTCACCATGGCCTTGGGGGCAGCAGACATCTGACTGGTTTGCCCAGTCATGGCCCGTTTTGTAGTGGCCCTCCCCTCCGTGGTGATCTCATCCAGCCTCCCCCGGCTTTAATGCCATCTCTCCTTGACATCTCCATCTCCAGCCCCAGCCTGCCATCTGAGCTGCAGCCTCAGCTTTCTGGCTGCCTCTTCCACCTCTCTGTTGTTACTCTGATACTAAGTAGCCATGTGCAAACTTAAACACCCGATCATTTAAAAAAAAAAAAAAAAGTATCTTATTGATTTTTTTTCACCGAGAGGAAGGGAGAAGGATAGAGAGCTAGAAACATCAATCAGTTGCCTCCTGCACACCCCCCACTGGGGATATGCCCCCAACCAAGGTACATGCCCTTGGCTGGAATCGAAATGGGACCCTTCAGTCCACAGGCTGATGCTCTATCCACTGAGCCAAACCAGTTAGGGCTAAACACCAGATCTTTACTGCCTTCACCACCTCAGTTCATGACAGCTCTGTTCTTGAGTTTGGAGCCACCTGGATCCTTCTCAGGCCTCCATACAACCTTCAGGATCATTTATCATCACTTCTGGTTTAAGTTTTGTAATAAGCCTCTTAATTTTTCTTTTTGCTCGCACCCTTGCCCCTCTCATCATGATTGTTTTACATTGCAAGATAATGTAAAACTGAGGCAGTTTAGGTTAGAGGCAGCTTGTCTGGGTGGTAAAACAGCTCCAGCACTTTCTAGCTGTGTGACCTTGAGCAAGTTGCTTAACCTTTCTCAGTGCTGTGTGAGCACTGGCGAATATAAGTTCATGAAGGGCTTAGAAAAGGGTCCAGCTGAGAATTGGCTGCCACTGCTGTCCTTGGATCATGTGACCTCACTGCTTGGACTTTCCAGTCCTGTAGCCCATCTCAAAGATAAGAGCCAGAGTCCTGGTCTTGCTTGCTCTCACAGACTTGGCCTCCTCTCATTTCCCCTCAGCACACTGCTCTCACCTGCTACACCACACTCCTACCCCAGGGCCTTGTTCTTTGTGTGCTTGGAATGTCCCCTTCTCACACTCCCACTGCCCACCTGACACTCCCCTTCCCTTCTATGGACAATGGCTATGAGGTCTTTACTGCCCATTCTTTCTGAAGCTGCCGTCTCTTTCTCAACTCCTTGCTTTATTTTTCTCTTGAGCACTTATCAGTTTTTCTTAGTTGTTACTTGACCATCTCCTGCTAAACCGGGAGCTCTGTGGGGCAGAGGTTTTGTGTGTCTGGTGCCCTCAGCATTAGGATAGTGTGTGTGCTACATGGAAGGCAGTCGGCAAACACTTGTTGAGTGAGTAGTGAAAGCTTGTGGAGGGAAAGTAAGGAGCTTGTTCAGAACTGCCCCCCTCTGGGCTTTGCACCTTGAGCTACTGGCTGCTTGGGCTGGGCAGGTTTTCCTGATCTTCCAAGGAAAGATCTTTCTCTTCACAGCTCTCCAACCTCACCCTATGCACTCCTTCAAGGCCTCCTTCAGTTATTATTGTCATCTTTGCTTTGTGCTTCTACACGGCTGCTTCTTAGCCTTTTTATATGGTAGTAGGCATCCCCTCTCCTATAGCCATTTGTTCTTAAACCTCCCCCCCCCCCCCCTTATGTCTTCTTCGTTTTAGGTTTTTTTTTTGTTTGTTTGTTTTTTTAGCCTCAAGAGTCACATTTGACCCTAGCTCAAGTGTGGACAGACCCGCCAGGTTCTGAGGGGTTTGGTCCTGGTCTGATCTGTGTTCTGTAGCACTGGTCATGCTGACCTGCTTGTCCTTCTCTTAAAATGATCTTTCTTGGTTGCCAGGAAACTGGTCTTACTCTAATTAGTGTTCCTGGTGCCTCTCTGGTTGCAGCCTCCTCAGTGTTTACTTGCAGGTCAGTCTGTCTGTCCTCATCTATGTGTTGCATTTCCTTCATCCTTAGCATCTTTGACAGACACCTCCCTGGGGAGGTGTTGGGTTAAATTACCATTGAAACCACAACAGTCAGGACATCTTAGAATCTTGGAAATAGAGTGACAGCAATGGTGATCATTGCCCTTCCAACTGTGTCCAGGTGGTGGGAACTTCCTTGTCTCTTTGGTAGTGCCTTCCTGAGGGTAGATAGCCAGTATTTGTTCAAAGACTTGATTAAAAAAGTCTCTGGTGTTTATGTTGTGCCACCTTCAAAATACAACCACTATACTCTGTCCCTTCACCACAAACTTTTTAAACATATGATGTCTGCTTCCTGTCTATGCAACCAGTCATGCTGCCCTGTGCATATATAGGCATGCATGTGCGTATCTGCACCGTGTGCATGGCATATTTGTGTGTGTGTGTGTGTCTGCACGGGGTATGCGCCTGCACGTGCTTTGCTCTGATGCTCAGGCCTCCTGCACACCTCTGGGTTTTGGATTGCCCCTCTGAGCTGCCTTCTCAGCCTATACCAGTTCTTTTGTCATGCTTCCTCTGGAGTGAAGCTCCTCAGAGCCGCGTCCTCAACCTTGTTCTTGGTCTGTGTTCCCTCTCTGGGCAGCCTTTCTTCTGTGGCTTTGACGACTACCACCTCTCGAATGTTCTGGCCCGTATTCTCAGGACCAGTTAGTTCCAGAGCGGTGACCTCAGCACCTGTTGGACAGGGCTCCTGCCCGAATGCTGAAACACATGCGTCCCTCCAGGGAAAGCCTCATTTGCTTTCAGTTCCCTCTTGTTTGTGCTCTCCACCTCCACCCAGTCAGCAGAGTGGTTAGTATGGTGTCTTCACTGTTCCTGAAGGCTCTCGTTCTTTCACGCCTTGGCCCTCTGGCCTAGAGGACTCCTACCCCTTGGGCACAGGGACAGTGCCTGGTGCAGTGGTTAGCCTCTTTTCTCAAATAAGGATTACACTGTGGCATGAGAGTCAACTCACCCTGTGTGGCTCCTCATTGCCCCCAGGATGGAGCCAGGCTCCAGATGGTACCTAGCACTCCCTGTACCCTGGCTCCAGCTGTCTCCTACAGCTGCCCCACCAACCCTGGCCTGGCTCCCTTCCCACAGCCACCACCCCTTCCTCTACTGGGAACAGAACCACGCCACCTCTGGCGACTTCAGCACGCTGCAGCACTGTCCCGGTCCACGTGCCACCTTGTGGGCCCAGGAGAGCCCTGGGGGTCCAGGGTAGCAGAGCCGTACCTCTGAGGCCCTAGTGCTGCAGAGTTGAGCTGAGGGTCTCGCGCTCACCCTCTGACTGACCCAGCCCTAGCAGGTGAGTAGATTGATGTTGCTCTGATGGCCGGAGGGAGGCCACACACCTTATGTGTGCTCTGGAAAGGGCAGCCTTCCACATCGTGCTTGCTTTCCTAGTAAACTGAGATCGTAGAATGCTGCGGTGCAGTTTAGTGTAGATTTTTTTTTTTAATCCTTTTGAGCCTTAAGATTAAATACTGTTTTTATGCTTCTGAAATAGGAACTGCAGTGGACAATTAATAAAATATTTAATGGGGCTTACTATCATTTAGGTTATAAAGAAACAAAGTAAAGGTAGTCTGTTTTAAAGCTTAAAAGGTTCTCTTAGGCAGATTTTTATTTTTTTATTTTTTTTTTGCTATACCGTTAAAAGCACTTGACTCTTGGTGCCGGGGGAAGCGGAAGGTTTCTGTCATTTGTGACGATGTTTTTAAATCTCTTTGCAGGTAGAAGAAGAAAGGTGCCACTTTGGCATGAAGACAGACTCACTTAGTCGTCAGTCCTTTAAGCTGAGTGCATTGTGATTTCCAATAATTGAGGCAGTGGTTCTAAAAGCTGTCTACATTAATGAAAAGAGCAATGTGGCCAGCTTGACTAAGCCGCCAGTGTGTGCAGCGCGGGCAGGACGGCACCGGGTCTCGACGGACTTGTGCATGTTAGCAGTATAGATTTATGTAAGGTTTTTAAAAACTGGTCTTTTAAAGTAGTCTTAAGCATTTTTACTATGGAGACGTATGAGAGCCCCTCTCCTCTCCCGCGTGAGCCCGCAGGAGAAGTGGTGATGGAGAAACGTGCTTGCCCCCTCCCAGCGCTGCCCCGTGAACAGTCTCCACCACCTCCCCTGCAAACGTCCAGTGATGCAGAGGTAATGGACGTTGGCTCTGGTGGTGATGGACAGGCCGAACCCCCGGCGGACGACCCTCTCAACTTCTACGGAGCTTCTCTTCTCTCCAAAGGATCCTTCTCGAAAGCCCGTCTCCTCATAGACCCGAACTGTAGTGGCTACAGCCCGCGCACCGCCCGGCACGCACCTGCGGTCCGGAAGTTCTCCCCTGACCTTAAGTTGCTTAAGGATGTAAAGATTAGTGTGAGCTTTACCGAGAGCTGCAGGAGTAAGGACAGGAAGGTGCTGTACACAGGAGCGGAGCGCGACGCTCGCGCCGAGTGCAGCCTGGCCCTTAGCCCTGTCAGCGGAGACGTGCATGCTTGTCCCTTTGGCGGGAGTGTTGGTAATGGGGTAGGCATAGGGGGTGAGAGTGCTGATAAGAAGGATGAGGAGAATGATCTGGATCAGGAAAAGAGAGTGGAGTATGCAGTGCTCGATGAGTTAGAAGATTTTACTGACAATTTGGAGCTAGATGAAGAAGGAGCAGGCGGGTTCACGGCTAAAGCAATCGTGCAAAGAGACAGAGTGGATGAAGAGGCCTTGAATTTCTCCTACGAGGTATGTCGGTGACCTCTCCTTGGGAGTCCTCTTAACAAAACCCAAAGAGAGGTGTTTGGGAACAGCAGCAGCTTCTGTAATAGCTCTAAAGTGTCCCCATTTTTAAACTAATGAAAAGTTTGGCTGACACGTCAGCCTTTTTCCAACCTGAGTTGGAAAGTGCTGCTGAGATGTGCTCCCTGATGGTGTGTGTGCCTGACCAAGCCTTTTGGATTCAGGTTTTTTTTTGTTTTTTGTTTTTTTGTGCATAAAGGCACATCTAGGTCCCATCGAGAGTGCCTCATTTCTGTGTCCGTTCTCACTAATGTTGTTAAACTTGCCTGTGGTGCAGGAATGTAGGTGCCGGGGCTGTTGTGTCTGAATAGTATGTTTTGCAGGATGATTTTGACAACGACGTTGATGCTCTGTTGGAAGAGGGCCTTTGTGCTCCCAAAAAGAGGAGAGTGGATGAGAAATATGGAGGAGACAGCGACCATCCATCGGATGGAGAGACAAGCGTGCAGCCAATGATGACCAAGATTAAAACCGTGCTCAAAAGTAAGTTGGGGAAAAAGGAGTGAATGTTTGCAGGGCAGTGGTGGAGCAGGTTTGAGAGGTTTTTGGATACCAGATGACAGTCTCGGCACACTTTTGAGGGCAAGATAATCATGTCTGATGAAGGGAAAACAGACAAGAAACAAGAACACACTCAGAAGCGCTGCCACGCAGGTGCAGATCCTGGTGTACGCTGTGGAAACCACAGGGAAGCTAGTGTCTTGCAGAGGAACTGGGAAGGGACTTCTGATGGAGTGGGGAGTGGACCCCTGAGGAGGGGACATCGGCGTGTTCTGGGAGATGACAAGTCAGACAAATGTGTGTGGAGGTCGAGGCCAGAGGTGGGTGCTCAGCATGGTGGTAGGTGAAAGTCAAGGTCCAAGTTCTAGACTGTTGTTCTCAGGAGAAGTCATTAGAAGCAAGCAGGTGTTCAAAACAAAACATGGTAGAATAAATCTTATTGTAGCATAATTGCTCTCAATAAAAATGCCAAATCTAATGATTTGTGTTTTTTTTTTTTTGTTTATATTTAATTCTCACCCTACGATATTTTTTCCATCATTTTTCAGAGAGAATAGAAAGGGAGGGAAGGAGGGAGGGGGGAAATGAGAGTGAGAAACGTCAGTATGAGAGAGACAGATCAACTGGTTGTCTCCTGCACTCGCCTGGACATGGGGTGAGGAGCAAACCTGAAACCCAGGTCTGAGCCCCTGACCCTGAGTCAAACCCAGGACCCTTTGCTGTGCGAGATGATGCTCTAAGTAACCCCTGCCACAAACAGATTTAGAAACATGTTACATTTTTAAAGATGAAAAGGATGCCGATAACTTGGAAAAAATGTATCTTTGTAGCTGGAGGGAGAAAAAAAGCAGACAGACATTGTTACAAAATTTAAAAATAAGAGTACAGCTCCTGTGGCTGCAGCATGGTTCCCGCATTTCAGAGAGGCAGGGTGGGAGCTCCTGTGTGCAGGTGGAGGTGTTCTAAAGGTGCAGGCAGCAGGACTTACACGTTGATTTGAGGACAGGATGGAGAGCAGTAGGGAGACTTCCAGAGTTTTGTTCCCGCAGCTGCTTTGCCAATGCAGGGCCAGTCTGAGAGGAGTCTCTGAGTGTTCAGGTGGAGATGTAGGCCTGGGCATTTGGACAGCGGAGGGGCTGAAGAGATGCATGGGCAGGCAGGTGACACCTCAGCTGGGCAGGCAGGTGACACCTCAGTCTGAGGTGCATGGTACAGAAGGTGATGCGGTGTGATGGAGGAAACTGAGGGGTAGGTTGTATGCAGTCTCCTCGGGCTGTGTAGCGGATGTGTCAGTGGTGAGCAGGTGTGTGTCTGCCCATGTGGACTAGTGGTTGGAATAGGTTGGGTTCACTGATTGCAGATGGAGATGAACTTGGGTCTCAGCTTCTGAGAATGGGTTGAGGGGCAGTGTTCTCCTTGGTGCCCCTGGCAGGTTTGCTTTGTGCTCCTTCCGTGGTTTCAGCAGCCTCATTCTGAGCAGGTAAAGTCGTGTCCGTCCTGAGCAGTGCACAGGCTAGCAGTTTGCCTGGCCACTCTGCCTACCTGCTTGGGCACCGGCTTTCCCTCTGCATTCTTCTCCACCTGGCAGCCTGGCTGGCAGCGGTGTCTCCCTCCCAGGAGTTGTAGCTTGCTCCTCCGGCTTGCAGACTGCATATGAGCAGCATGTGAGCTCTTCAGACAGCCGGTGCAGCTTTATGAGCACTCACGGTTATAAATGAGTGGCCTGCATGCACCTGTGGTCCCATATTGTGCTTGGTTTGTATTTCATTTGATGTAAGGCAGCTCCTTGACCTGGCTCACCAGGGAGAGTGCCTGATAGGGTTTGTGCACTTCTGACCTGCAATACTCCCTTCCAGGGGCTGTCCTGACACCAGCTGTCCAGCAGGTGCTGGGAGGTGCCAAGCAACAGACAGGGCTGGGATAGGCTCTGTCTGGAGGTGGGGCACTTCCCTACTTGCTCAGTTCTAGAGGTTCTTTTCAATATTTGGTCCATTTTACTGTTTTTATCTGCCTTATGTCATAATTAAAGAAAAAAAAAATCCCAACAATTTTTTTTGTTTTTCAAGTGATTGTAGGATGTTCTTCTATGCAGGTCGTGGCCGCCCACCTACAGAACCATTGCCTGATGGGTGGATCATGACATTCCATAACTCCGGAGTCCCCGTGTACCTACACAGAGAGTCTCGGGTGGTCACCTGGTCCAGGCCGTACTTCTTGGGAACGGGAAGCATACGGGTATGGGATGCATCAGTCCTGACTTTAGTCTTGCAAATTCACAGATAAGAATGTGCACACATTGCATCATCGCCAGGCTGAGGCAGGTGAAAGACGTCGGAATTCAGACATTTGGGGTCATCCTTATAACCTATTACAATTTTCCTATCCACAGAAACATGATCCTCCTCTGAGTAGCATCCCCTGTCTGCATTACAAGAAAATGAAGGACAACGAGGAAAGGGAGCAAAACAGTGAGCTTTCCCCTAGTGGGGAGGTGTCCCCTGTCAAGCCCCTCAGTCGAACTGCAGAGCTGGAGTTTCCCCTGGAAGAGTCTGAATCCATGGGGGCCGACACGGGGCCCCCAGATGAGAAGGACCCGCTGGGGGCTGAGGCTGCCCCTGGGGCCCTGGGGCAGGTGAAGGCCAAAGTGGAGGTGTGCAAAGACGAATCAGTTGGTAAGTTTCCAGAGTGAATTCTTTGCGTTTATCTGCCTTGTACTCTCTGCAGGGTTGCCACTACATCCCGTGGGGTCCCCTTCCTTCTGCTGAAGACCATCTGTTCTTAGTTACGTCGGTGAGGAAGGGACTGCTGGGGACCTCTGTCTTCCCTCAACATGGCTGGCAAGGCCCATCTCCCTGTTCTTTGAAGAACCTGCCTATGCCCCACTCCAGGCCCCTGCTCCTGGGCTCTGTAGGGCCCATGTGGCCAGTGTTGTCATGGAGATGGCTATTAGTGCAGGCTGACCTTGTCACTGAATTTTCTCTAGTCACTTTTATGTTCTTCCCTGAAGTTTTGCTTTTTTTAGTAGGATGTATTCGATGTGGCGTTTTGGTTTATCTGTTATGTACTCAGAATGGACTGCTTCAATCCACAGACTCACTGTTGGGAAACTGTTACTATTCTGTGGGCATTTCACACTTAAATCCTGCAATTGTGAGAGTGTGTTGGTGTTTTTTACTATCTCTTCTGTCTTTTAGCTTCGTTTCACCCATTTAAATTTTAACATTTTAATTAATTTTTTTTATTATTACTTTTTAAAAGATATATTTTTACTAGAGGCCTGGTGCACAAAATTAATTGGAGGGGGGAGGGGTCCCACAGCCTGGCCTGCACCCTCTCCCAGTTTGAGCCTCGGGGGATCTCTGACTAACAGCTTAGGCTCATGGGAGAAGCTTCTGCCATCAATGCTATGCTCACCAGCTGTGAGCCCAGCTTCTGGCTGAGCGGAGCTCCCCCTGTGGGAGTGCACTGACCACCAGGGGGCAGCTCCTGCGTTGAGTGTCTGCCCCCTCGTCATAGCAACTGATCGTTCTGCCGTTTGGTTGGTTTGCATATTAGCCTTTATTATTTAGGATTAATTTCAGAGAGGGAGAGAGAGATAGAAACATCAATGATGAGAGAGAATCATTGATCAGCTGCCTCCTGCACTCCCAGGCATGTGCCCTTGACTGGAATTGAACCTGGGACCCTTTAGTCTGTAGGCTGATGGTCTACCCTCTGTGCAAAACCAGTTAGGGCTTTTGATGTTTTTTTGAATTGATTTCAGAGAGAGGTAAGGAGAGCGAGAAAGGGGTAGAAACATCAATGATGAGGAAGAATCATTGATTGGCTGCCCCCTACTGGGGATTGAACCCACAACCCAGGCATGTGCCCTGACCTGGAATTGAACCATGACCTGGTTCATGAGTCAATGCTCAACCACTGAGCCACACTGGTTGGGTTGAATCTTTTTCAAAGAGGACTTTGCCTTTTCAGGATTTCTGATTGTGTGTATTGCTGCCTGGCTTGTCTCATAACTATTCCATGTACGGAGCCTTAGAAGAGCTGGGGAGATGGCTTCTGGGAGAAGGGGGAGAGACAGCATTCTGGTTAGAGCCTTGGACATCTCAGTGGTCCCCGGGTTCCCCCATGGGTGGATCTCAGTCTCCCCTCAACCTGTCCGGTGTTGCCTTCCTCCCTCCTGCAAGCCGGCTTCCTTTGTCTTCTATGGGTGTATCAGGGCTTTTCTCTGGGACCTGGCTGGAAGGGAGCTCTCCCTTTGAGACAGCGCTTTACTTATTTATTTTATTTTTTGTACTATCTTTATGCACGTGTAAATGATTGTTTCTGTTTTTCTAAAACACCTCCCTCCCACTTCTAACCTCATTCTCCTGTGAGAGGTGACCACTGGTACTTACTTCCAGACTCACTTCTCTGCATTCATATGCAAAGAAGTAATAGTTTCAATTTATAATTAAGTAGGTGCAAGTATATTTTTTGTAGCCTTTTGTGTTGAAAAGCTACACCTCAATCTTCCAACATGGCACCCCTCTCTCCACCTTCTGCTAGCATTGCTCTTAGTTCTGGGCACGAGCCACGGCACACTCGAGTGCTAGGAGGCAGACAGGAAACTATTGAGGCTGATGGGAAGTCCTGGGGAGAAGGGGATAATAGTAGGTATAACAGTAAAAGTGGGAGGCCCCGAAAACTCCACTGAATGGCGCGGGGGTAGAATACGCAGCTGAGACGGCACCTGCATGAGCTGTGGGGCTGAGCCAGGGACCAAGTGGGGAGAGGCATGTTGAGTATTGAGGCCTAAGCTGCCTGGATGTGTCACTGAATTTGGAGGCTGCCAGCTTGGCTGGAGGGAAAGCAAGCAAGATGGGCAGTGGGTGCAAGGCTCCCCTGCCTGCTATTTGCAGTTAGGTACCTGTTTTGATGGGCTCTGAAGGCCATCTGATTTTTTTTTTTTTAAACTTTTCTTAAATCCTTGTTCTTATTCCAAAATAAAAGAATATCCAGAAGTTTGTTCATAAAGACCTTTCAGAATAACTTGAGTTGGCTGCGTGAAGGGACCTCATTCTTGGTCCTTCAAAAGGAGCACGGAAAGAGCAGTGGGTATTACGTGATGGGATCTGGCTGGTGGCAGCCCATCACTGTCTAATTCACTGGACAGAGGAAACGACTTACATTGAAAATTAGTAACATGGTTCGCTGGTAAATCTTCTATAGATCTTGAGGAATTTCGGAGCTACCTGGAGAAGCGTTTTGACTTTGAGCAAGTTACTGTGAAAAAATTCAGAACTTGGGCCGAGCGGCGGCAGTTTAACCGAGAAATGAAACGGAAACAGGCGGAGTCTGAGAGGCCCATCCTGCCCGCCAATCAGAAGCTCATTACTCTCTCTGTGCAAGATGCCCCCACCAAGAAAGGTGAGTGGGGCTTGTAAATTGTAACACTGGCAGACTGGTTACATTGTTATTTTTCATCGGTTGTTCTTAAAATGTATACTTTGTGTGTGAGTTACATTTTAATTGAAAGCTTATGTTTACCCTATGAATGCAGAATTCCAACACATTCATGGCAGTGAATTCAATGTGATTCAGTGACTTGGTGATTTGGATGGTGCCAGGTTCCCAGTGCTAGCTTGTAGTAGGGTCCTCACCCTGTTGTTGAGATGGTCCTTCTTGTCACAGAATTTGTCATTAACCCCAATGGAAAATCCGAGGTCTGCATCCTGCACGAGTACATGCAGCGAGTCCTGAAGGTCCGCCCGGTTTATAATTTCTTTGAATGTGGTAAGTTTGACCTTCCTCGTCCCAGTACTGAAGTCACACACCTCACTTTGATCAGAGCTGGGAGATGGGAGCTGGCTGCTAGTTGGGCTGGAAATGAAAGAGAAGGACAAGGAGAAGGATATTGCAGATAGGCAGGTCATTTTCATGGGAATGTGTCCAGATTAAGGGTTACTGTCTCTGCTTCCCCTTTTATTGTTCACACCCCACCCTCCCTCATCTTCCTGTGTTTCTTGCTCATTGAGGAAGGCTTCCCACTGCCTCCAGGCTCCCCGAGGTGGATGAAGGAGCTTTAGGCCTGCTCTTCCCATTAGCAGTCTCCTGTCCATCCTCGTCATGTCCTTGAAAACCAATTTTTCTTCCCCTTGGAAGCCAGAACCTAGGAATTACTCATTGCTTTTCATGTTTCTGTGGCTCGCTACATGTGTGCATCCCCTCAGTACTCTGTCAGTCTTTCACAGACATTGGTCCCTGCTCCTTGTGGTCCTGCTTCTGACCTCCAGCTCACTATCCCGTGGTCCCCCTTCCTTGAAATTTTCCTGGTGTGTTCTCTGCCTGTGACCATCTCAGGCCCATCTCAGTGCCTCAGGGAGTCCTCAGGTCTCTGTCTTCCAGCAGCAGTCTTGGCCCCATCTTGTCTGCTGGTGTGAGCGTATTGTGTGTGTGTGTGTGTGTGTGTGTGTGTGCGCGCGCGCGCGCGTGTGCGCATGCTGGCTTTTAATATCTTGGCAAGTGTGTTTTAAAACAGTAATTTTAATTTTAAGAGAACCCAAGTGAGCCTTTTGGTGCCTCGGTGACCATTGATGGTGTGACCTATGGATCTGGAACTGCAAGCAGCAAAAAACTTGCGAAGAATAAAGCTGGTAATGTGCCTCTTAGATGTCAGCCCATGCTACCCTCTGTGTTTGCCCCTCCTCTTGGTTGGGGAGGGCTGAGCAGCAGGGGTGGGAGTGGTGTGGTTGGGGAAAATCCATTTTACTTCTGTATTTATTTTGATTTTTAAAAATTATCTGCTCATTGGGAAAGATTCCGATTTAGAAAGTAAAACCTGAGTAATAAAAAAGTAGAAAGTCCCTTCTTAATTCGTTGGCAGCCTGGCTGGAATCTCTCACCCTTTTCCTCCCTACTCACTGAGCTGACTGGGCTGCACTGGTCACGTGTAGGGTGGGTTTGTGTTTAAATGGAGCAAAATGTGGGCATGCTAGGAAATGAGGAACAGGTGAGTCAGCCTGCTGTTGGCATTCTCTTTGAGTGGTTTTGACATTTGTGAGGACGATTTCCTGAGTCCTTCAAACTGCACTTTTGGGACTGCCACTCACTGAACACAGCAGATCCAGGGAAAGCTTGTTTTCTGGTTAAAACCCATTGCTCCTTTTGACCATGGATGTGCTGTTCACTTTGTGCTCAGCATTAGTAGTTGCTGGCGTTCTTTTCCAGAAGCCATTTGGCCTCTTCTTAGGAGTGGACCCCATTGCAGGGTAGGCATTGGTGCACCCCGGACTCTGGTACTATAGGCTGATTCTTGAAGTTTATGCCCTTCCCATTGTCTTCGAGAGCAGCCCTGCCCTTCACAGGATGGGAAGTATGTCAGTTTTGTCTAGGTCTCGGGTCAAGTGTTTTTGTTCATGGGACTTAGCATTCCCCCTGGTGTTGCTTTCTTTCGATGGTGTATGCTGAATACAGGAATAATACACTACTGTCTGCCTTTCCTCTGTGAGGCTGTGCTGGGCTCATACAGTGTACCCCGTTCTCCAGGAAGGCCTGTTGTCCATTTTTGAGAAATTTTTTCAAAAGACTTTTTTTTTTTTTTTTTAATCCTCAACCAAGGATATTTTCCCATTGATTTTAAAGAGAATGGAAGAAAGACGGGCAGAGAGAAATATCCATGTGAGTGAAATGCATAGATTGGTTGCCTCCTGCACAAGCCCTGACCAGGGCCCCGGCTGGGGAGAAGCCTGCAACTAGGTACATGCCCTTGACCGGAATCTAAATGGGACCCTTGGGTCCACAGGCCCACTCTCTAGCCACTGAGCCAAGCCAGCTAGGGTGACTTTCTTTTGTAAAAAAATGTTTTTATTGGTTTTTAGAGAAAGAGGAAGGGAGAGGGATATAGAGATAAAAACATCTATGAGAAGAACATCATCAATCAGCTGCTTTCTGCGCACCCCCTACTGAGGATTAAGCATGTGCCCTGACTGGGAATTAAATTGGTGAACTCTTAGTTCTTGGGTTGAGCCATACTGGCTGGGCCCAAAAGACTTTTTCAGCTCAACAGGCTGGGTGTTACCAAAGTCATGGAGCAGTTAACCCAGAGCAGGGCCCACCATGGGGGCGGAGACATTCTGGTGGCAGGACCATGCTGCACTCCTCCCCACGAGCAGAGCCACTTTTTCTGCCCAGACCTTAGCTTCTCTTTAGACACCTGCACTTGGATGTCTTGCTGGTACTATAACCCTACAGAGCCAGACTGGCACACATTCCTCCCGCCTCCCTCGGTGCCCCACATTCCCGTGCCATTGGTGAGTGGCAGCCTTGTTCACTTGGGCACTGTGCTCAGTATGGAGTCATCTCTGTGCTCTGTCCTGCAGACTTCTCCAGAGAATCCATCTGGTCTGGCTGTTCCTCCCTGCCACACACGTAGCTTACTCAGTTTGCAGTTCTCTCTACTTGATCCAGGTTCTGCTGAGCCATTTGCCTCCATGTCACATGAATCCTCTGACATGCACAACTCTCGCTAACCTGCTACAAGTGCCTCAGGGCCAAATTGCCTCTGTCACTGCCTGCTTTTCTTAGGATGTGCTCTTTTCCATCCCCTGCTGTCTCTGTCTCTAACAGCACTGCTGCTCCCTAGAGCCCTTGCTTCCCTGAGTTGTGGGGTCCCTGGTCCTGCAGAGGAGCCAGTGTGTAGCTTGCTCTGCAGTTGGAAAGCAGGCTGGGCCTACACCCTCAGCCTCAAGATTTTTCTTTTCATAGCTCGAGCTACGCTGGAAATCCTCATCCCTGATTTTGTTAAACAGACTTCCGAGGAGAAGCCCAAAGACAGCGAAGAACTTGAGGTGAGTGTCATGACTGCCCTGTTTGGAACTGCAGTTCTCAGCTCAGCCTGCCCGGTCAGTGCAGGGTGTGCTCAATGATTTAATCGTTCAAGGTGATATTGTTTGTTTATATTTTATAAAAGGAAACTTGCTTATCTTCATGCAAGCACAGGAAAGAAATGGCATTTTTGTCCCCTGTGTCTTGTAATTGGTAGCAAGAAGTTGCTTGTGAGCAATAAATGTATTTGGAAGTAAATCAGCTCTCTCCTTGTAGTAGATCTGTGGTGGGAATGAACCTTTAAGGCAGGGTCTACAAAAGTTAAATTAGTCTTATGTTAACCATTTAAAACTGCTTGTGAACTTTTTTTGAGTAAATCTGTTTCTGTGATTTGGAACAAGGGCTTTTCAAACTCTAAAGAGTTTGAAACTAAAAGCTTTATTGATATGTAATTTATATGCCATGAATTTTATCCTTTTAAACTACAGTTCAGTGGCTTTTTGTATATAATCATCACAACAACCTAACCTTAAAAACTTTTAGCAATAATTCCCAATTCTCCCCATTCCCTAGCCTTCAACACTAATTAGAAGCCACTAATGTACTTGCTATCTCTGGATTTTCCAATTCTGGACATTTTCACAGGAATAAAATCACATATGTGGTCCTTTGTGACTAGCTTCTTTCACTTAACATGCTGTGTTATTTGTGGATCTTATTAGATTGAGAATGTTTACTTCTACTTCTGGTTTGCTAAGACTTTTTGCCAGGAATAGAGGTTGGATGTTCTCAGATAGTTTTTCTGTCGGCCTGTGGACTGAAAGGTCCCGGGTTCGATTTCGGTCAAGGGCATGTACCTTGGTTGCGGGCACATCCCCAGTGGCGGGTGTGCAGGAGGCAGCTGATAGATGTTTCTCTCTCATCGATGTTTCTAACTTTCTATACCTCTCTGTAAAAAATCAATAAAATATATATTTTTAAAAATGAAAACAGCCATACAACAATACCACAATAACCCTCCAATGTGAATGAATTAAAATCATACTTTTTTTTTAATTTGGCAAAAAATATATTTTTGGAGTGCCACAGAAATGTAGTCATTAGTTTGTTTATTCCATGAGATGAAAAGGTTGAAAATTGCTGGAATAGGGCAATGCAGGTAGGTAGGTTGCATTTTTCAGGGATTGGTCTGTTTTATCTAAATTTTTAAGTTTATGGGTCTTGGGTTATATGTGGTGTTCTTGGGTTCTCGTGGTTCCTCGCTGTCAGTTGGGCCAGTCACCTGGGCTCTTGCTCTTCTCATTGGGACACATTTGCCCTTTGCATTTGCTTTCTTGAGTTGGAGAACGTCCACTCCCCTGGCAGGTGAACCATCAGTAACACCTGGCCATTTGCACCTGGACTACTTGGTAGTGGTAGTGCTGACCTTTGGCAGAGGCTGTTGGGTATTTTGGGGCTTCTTAGCATGGGCGTGTGTGTGTGTGTGTGTGTGTGTGTGTGTGTGTGTTGGCTTTAGCTCTGTCAGGGAGGAACCTAGAGCTGTAGGGTTCATACAAGTTCTCCGCCTGCTCAGCCTCATTACAGGTGCACAGCCCAGGTGCTGGTTAGAAAGTCAGTCCTCATGGGCTAAATGAGAAAGCCAGATATTGCTGATGTGTTGGCTGCCTGACCAGCCATTAAGGATGGCCCCAGAGCCTTACACCTTGGTGAGTAACTTTTCCTGGAAACTGATCCACAGTGATAAGGGCGCTTGAGATGGAGGCGCCTTGTGGAGACCTGTGAGAAAACAAGTAGCCAGATGATAGCGAGAGGCTTTCCTATTCACAGAATCAACAATACTCGTCAGAGACAGTGCCTTCCTTCCCTCTACTCAGTCACGGTGAGCCTGTCTCCTCTCTGAAGGAAGTGGAGGTAGAGGAACCCCACCTCCCTGCTCAGAGCAGAGGGGAGGGAGATGGCGTGAACGCCACGTGGAGATGGGAGTTATGCTTCCACAAGCCACCGGAAGCTGGAAAAGTCAAGGAAGGCTCTTCCTTGGGAGGCTTCAGAAGGAGCAGGGCCCTGCTGACACTTTGACTTCCGGCCTCCAGAAGTGAGAGAAAATTAATTTCTGTTGTTTTAAGCCACCCAGTTTATGGTACTTTGTTGGGGCAGCCCCAGGAGACGTACACAGCCCCACTGGGGACGTGACCCTTGCTCCTGAGTGGCATCCATTCACCAGGGGGCAGCTCCTGTCTCTGTTGTGCAGGACTTTCCTTTTTTTCCTTGATTGGTTAAATGGTTTCTTGTTAACCCTTCTTTAACCTTTCTATTCTTTGGTCGCAGTGGTCACTTTAAAATCCAGGATGACATTTGTGTTTGACTAGAGCCCGACCTGGCACTGTGTAGCCTTCGGGGAGAATTAGAGTGCAGCTTTTGCTTTGCCTACCTTCTCTTTTCTATAACCTCACTTATGATGATGTTCAAGTTTTTCTCCAAAGGTTATTTATCTTTAGATTTCAGACTAATTATGTGAAGTCTGAAGATTCAGGCTCAGAAAAGGCTATCTCCGGGCGGGCTGGCTAGCTACGCAGCCCAGGTCCTCAGTGCACCAGGGCCTTCACCCCACCCATGCCCTCTCTCCAGCCTGGTGTAGGGCAGCTACTCTTCCTTGTCTCAAGAGGGCCAGCTGGGCAGTGAAGTGCGGGGTGCGAGGTGCTCTGTGAGGTAATGAGGACAGTAAGCCTCTGGGGGAAGCGGACAGCATGGGGAGCACCTCTGCCAGGCCATTACTTAGGAGTGGCTGCTTTGTTTTGTAGTATTTTAACCACATCAGTATCGAGGACTCACGGGTCTACGAGTTGACCAGCAAGGCCGGACTGTTGTCTCCCTATCAGATCCTCCACGAGTGCCTTAAAAGGTAGGGTGGGAGTTTGCCGTCCCAAGTCTGGTCGGGGGCTTCTATTTGGGTGCCCAACATCCCTCCTGGCTGTTGATCCTGACTCAAAAAGCAATGCTGAAGCCCAAGAGCCATTGCAAGTGTTCCCTGTGTGCACAGAAGCTCCTGCCTGGCGGTCCCATGGGATCAGGTTGGAGAACCTCACTCTCCAGCTGAGCAGCAGTTTGGGGGAAAGGGTTGGCATTGTCTTGAGAGAGCCCTTAACTTTCTGGAAGCAACTGTTTCCTCCTCCTCAGCTGATGTCAGCTGTTGTCTTTGTTTTTTTCTTAGAAACCACGGGATGGGTGATACATCCATCAAGTTTGAAGTGGTTCCTGGTAAAAACCAGAAGAGTGAATATGTCATGGCGTGCGGCAAGCACACAGTGCGCGGCTGGTGTAAGGACCCCATCTCCTCCTCGCCACCCACCATGCTGGCAGATGACCACTGGGGGATGTTGCCTTGCTGCCACCCCAACCTGTGGTCTCTTTGGGAATTTTGAGCTCCTTTGCCTTGGTCCCCAGTCACTGCCCTCTTGTTGCTCCCGAGCTCCAGCTGTGGGAACTGGCTGCCTCCAGTTTTGTCCACCAGCATCTCACGCCAACAGCTCAAACACAGTCAGCCTGAGGCTTGACTTTGGTAGTCCTGTCTATGCTGTCTCTGTCTTCTCTGTCCTGGGCTGGACTGATCATTCTGGTTAGGCCATGCGGTCCCCTCCTGCCATCTCTGTCCCCTACAGTTCTTGGTCCCTGCGGTCGATGCTGCTCAAACAGCAGCAGAGTCTCCACCCTGCTCTGTTCTGCATTCCTGTGCTGGGTGTGTGCTGCCCCTCTGCCTTCTGGTCTGTGTGCACTACCTGTGCTCTTTACCTAATGTGAGTTTTGAAATGACTGCCTTTTAAAATATAACTTTATTTTAAAAGAAAAGTTTGTGTTACTACTACCCTGTTTCCCCGAAAATAAGACAGTGTCTTATATTAATTTTTTCTCCCCAAGTTGCCCTAGGTCTTATTTTCAGGGGATGTCTTATCTTTCCATGCGCTAGGTCTTATTTTCGGGGAAACACGGTATATACACAAAACCAATGCTGTATAAATTAGAAGGTAGTGCACAGGTTGACCCTGGGAACATTCAGAACCACGTTGAGACCTGGTGTGCCTTGTACTCCAGCAGACACCAGTCCCACTGAGAAGTGCTCCTAAGCAGGTGGGTGGAGCTTGAAATAGAAGAGGGATCCTGGTGCCAGGATTCTCTCCTCCAAGCTGGGAAGCCCTTTCTGAAAGTGTGGCCTTCTGGGAAAACCCTCCTCCTCTGTCTCCTCCAAGGAACCTGAGGCCACATGCTTCATGACACCTCATTGCTGCTTGATAGCGTGTCTGGAAGTGGGGTTGTGGAGGGAGGAAGGACTCTTAAACTTTGTGACTTGATCATGTCCTGACCTAGAGCCTCTGATGGGCTGTTGTGTGAAGTTGAGAGGGGTGGGTCCTGGCCTGGAATTTGTGAGGTGCTTGTGCTCAGCGTGGTTGGTGAAGCACTTCTCATCTGCTTCCTGTAGAATGTGCTCTCAGCTCGCGGGGGGTAGGGAGGGCAGATGAGCTCCTTTTAAGGCAAGGTGACTGTTATGGATAGCTGGATGTATCTGACTCCCTCTGCATATCCTTTCCCTCTTCACAGGTAAAAATAAGAGAGTTGGGAAGCAGTTAGCCTCTCAGAAAATCCTTCAGCTCCTGCACCCACATGTCAAGAACTGGGGGTCTTTACTACGCATGTATGGCCGTGAAAGCAGCAAGATGGTCAAACAGGTAACGGGACCTTTCTCCAACCTTGGAGTACATGCTTGGGGTCCCTCTGTCACAGGGATAGAGTCAAGCAGCTCAGCGCTGGCTACCTTTCTTGGGTTCTCTGCTACCTGTGACTTAGTTGGGCTGGGTCATCCTGCCCAAAGGGCCTGGGCCTGGTGCTGGCAGTTTGGGGAGGAGACGGGAGCAGCAGAAGTGCAGATGGTGAATGCTGCCAGCCCTGAAACCTTAGTCTAGTGATGGCAGGCCCTATGCTAATTTGAGGTCACACAGTGGCTGAGGGAGAGGGAGCATACAAGGGCAGCTCTCTTGGCTATGAACAGTTACTGAGCTTTAGTTCAACAGCCTGTGTGTCATTTGTTTTGTTTCTGCTACTTTTGCCAAGATCTTGAGATTTAAACCAATACTTTTAGGTAGATCGCAGATAGTTGGATGACAGATGCTTTGTTGGGTGGAGGGAAGTACTAGGAGGTGAGTGTTTACAGTTTTAACTTCCCCCTGATATTTATAGAAACGCTCTGGGTTATCAGCACCCCAGTAAGTAGAGGGATGGTCAGTGTAGAGTTGGGGACTACAGGTGGTGACTCCAAAGATCATAAGGTGGACCCTCAGGCCATCCCTGAAGTGCTCTTGCTCTGGGCATGATAGTAGGCCTGGTGAGGGAGGTGAAGGGTCCTCAACTTGCTTAGAGGAACCTCAGGATATGTGTTTTTGAGAATACAATGCACATGAAACTTATCTTGCCTTTTGTATATGCCTATATTCTGTGTATTCTCTTGGGCTAAGGTTGAAGGAGAGAAAGCCCACTTTGGCCCATGGGCGGGAACCTTTCCTAAACTGGAGGGCGATGGGTCAAGCCTGGGAACAGCCCAGCATGTGGCTTTTGGAAGACAGGAGGGGTCTGGCACCCCAGATACAGTAGTTGTCCTGAGAGATGGAGGGCCTTAGGACAGTTAGATCTTGCACTGAAAATCGAGGGCATGCAGAGAGCTCAGTGGCTGGGGCTGATGGCCTCCCAGCCTAGGTACCACTTCAGTGAGAGTATTCTGGGCACAGCAAGTCTGGCTGACGGCTGTATCTAAGGCAGTGTCTAGCTTCTTTGGGTCTGGACAGGGGTAGAAACAGCTGGGTACCAGGGTGCTTTTGTCCTAGAGCAGTTGTGGCTTTCTGTCCACTGAGAATGGGGCAGTGGGGAGCAGCACAGTATTCTCTGCACAGGTTGAGGGTAGGGCAGCTGGTGTGGGGTCCAGGGCAGACCTGACATGGAGGCACTGCTCCCCAGGAGACCTCAGACAAGAGTGTGATTGAGCTGCAGCAGTATGCCAAGAAGAACAAGCCGAATCTGCACATCCTGAGCAAGCTGCAGGAGGAGATGAAGAGGCTCGCCGAGGAGAGGGTGAGCATAGGCAGGGGACGGTACCAAGCTGTGTCACCTTATGGCAACTGCAGTTGGGGGGTAGGGGGCAGTGGAAGCTGTCCCATAGGAACCCATCACTGGCAGTGCCCAGGTACCTGGAAAGCCATCCAGATTAGATTTGCTTTTCCCTTGAGCTTCAGCATTCGTGATACTTATGCTAAATCCCTATTTTATGTAATTAAGTTAGAGAGCTGGCAGCCCTGGCTTGATAGAGGTTGTGAAGGGCCCAGCCTCTTTACACTGACTCCAGAGCTGGCTGTTTTGAGGGTAGGGAGAGTGCACTGGCCAGCCCTCTGCCCCCTCCCCATACTCAGGGTCCTGGTGGGTGACAGACTGCCATCCTGGGCCTCTTCCTCTTGTAGTCCTTAGCAGTTCTGAGGAAGGAGTGTGTTTCACAGAACCCAGGCAGGGCTCAGTCCCCATGCAGTTTCTAAAGCCTCCCATTCAGGCGGCCTCTGGGCTCGGATCTTTTCAGCTGTGGTGTCAGCCTGGGCCCGTATAAACCTGAGGAGGTGTCTGTTGTCTTTGTGCTCCTTTTGGATCCAGGGGATGCCTCACTGTTGCCCTCAGGTAGGGATGAGAGAGACCCACTGGGGGCATATCCCTGGTAGCTGTCACTTCCTTGGCTCTTCATTTTTGACTGTGTCCTGATACCCAGGGAAGGGATTACGGACTCTGGTGTCCAGGGTTATCCTCCCATCCAGGCCCCTGACCGGCCCACACCTCAAGTCTTGATCTTTCCAGCCTGAAATCGCAGAGCACGGGTGCCCTCCCGCTCCAGAGACTGCCTGGCACCAGTCTGTTGGGCTCACCCCCCACCCACCCATCTCCCTCTGGAACCTTTTGCCTAAAGCTTCCCTGACCTTCATTGTTTTTCTAGGAGGAGACGCGAAAGAAGCCCAAGATGTCTATCGTGGCATCTGCTCAGCCTGGTGGCGAGCCTCTGTGCACTGTGGACGTGTGAGGAGATGGTGGACCAGGCACGGGGGCTGCCAGCTCTGTTGCCCGGAAGACCACACACTGCTCACTCTGCAGCCTCTCATCTCCAGTCTAAGTTCCTCCCCTGCAGCCACATGTCTGAGGCTGGGGCCAGAGGGCTGGGGCTCCGGTGTATGGGGTCAGCCAGGGCCACATTCTACTGTTCCGTTCCCTTGTGGGCCACCCACAGGTCTGAGTGGACGTGTCCAAGCATCAGCTCATCCTGCCTGTGCAGGTGGAAGCTGAGCTTGGAGATGACCGATGCTTTTACAGATTTGCTGCAGACTGGTTTTACGAATATTTTCATGAATTTTAGTATGTAACATGCACTGACAAGAAATGATGGATGACAGATGAAATGACAAGTGATGGCCGAGTGCTATGGCGCCCTGTGCCTAGGGCTCCTGCAGGCCCTGCAGGGACCTGGTCAGAAGGCGCATGCTGGCACACCATCCCCCTTTTCTGCCTCCTGTGTTTTTCCTTTTTTTCTTAAAATGTTTTAACAGGAAGTCTTTCAGACCTTTTTGGTTTAAAACGAACACAGTTTTAGTATCAGAGCTATTTTTCAGAGATTACCGGTAAATCAAGGTGATTATTTTTCAGCCAGCGTGTTTCTGCCTGGCTGTTCCCCAAGCCCTGAGCTGGGTTATGATCCATTTTTCCGTCTTTTAAAAAATTAAATATTTTTTATTGATTTGAGAGAGAGAAAAACAATCAATTTGTTGTTCTACTAATTTATGCATTCACTGGTTGATTCATGAATGTGCCCCGACCAGGTATCAAACCCACAAACTTGGCATATCATATCAGGATGATGCTCTGACAAACTGAGCTATCCACCCGGCCAGGGCCTTCTGAGTAAGTCTTAATGCCCTAAGAACTCACCACCTTAGATAACTAGGTTGGTTGCCTTCACTGGCCTTTGGCAACTTTTTACTAAAGATTTTTGCACAGTCAAATCCCTCTGTCCCCCCTTCAGTTTTTAAAGCTTTTATGATATTTTAGCATTTGGAGAGAAACTTTTACAGTGTGTAGAAGATAGATTTGGAATCATGTATGTAGCAGATATAAACAATTAATGAATTTTAGCACGTGGGTTTATTTAAGAAGAGGGAACAAGGACCTTTAGTGCAATCCATTCTTGATCATAAACTGGCACTCCTCTCCAGATTTCGTGCAAGCACATGGATGGCAGCTTCACTGGATTTCCAAGGCAGCCGCCCTGTGCAGCCAGGTCTGGTAACCAGCTCACTCCTCTGACCAGCAGCCTGTGCTCTCCAGGTGGCCCCTGTGGACAGGTGCAGGGTTAGATATGACCCTGCCCTGAGTCCCAGGGGGTGTGAGGGGCCCTTGCTTGTCCCCACATGTAAGGTAGTGGTGGTTAGCCATTGGTTTCCTGTCCCAGCACCTCTTCAGGTTGCCACACTCATGGTGCACTGCCAGATACAGGAGCCCAGCACTGGGTTGCATTGTTACGTTCTCTGGGTGTGCCTGTCCACCACATCCCCTGTGGATGGTGTTTTGTTTCCAGGAAGACAATTGGTGGTGTCTGCTTCCGGGAAGACAATGTTGGCCTTGTAGGCCACCCAGTGTATTCCTCCCTCAACACCCATGTGACCAAGGTTAGCTTCTGTGTTGACCTTTATAAAACGGAATCCTCAATCAAGTTGCTGTAATTATATTTTTGCTTCTGTCTTGCTTGTGTCTGCAGCAATGAATAACTGACTGTGACGGTTTGCCCTTAAAACAGCCAGATGCGTCATTATGAACCAAAGCTTTGTGCACATGTTCCTAGAAGTGGGTGGGTCTCTGAGGCCCCACATCCTTTCTCATCCCGTGTGCGGTGTGTGTTGTGTGCACAGCTGTGCTGTGGGGGTAGAGGGCAAGGAGAGCCTCTGCTGATGCCACCTCTGTGCATCATACACTTCCTAGTGGTGGTTGGGCCGTGGCTGTAACAGTGAGCCTGGATTGTTTGGACACATAAAACAAAACTGTTCCAAAGGTTCTGACCGGTGTTTTTTTCTAGCTGTGGGAGACTAGGGGTCTTGTGGACCTCAGTTTGCCAGAACCTCTGGAGCAGTCCCCAGCGAGCCTAGGGCATTAGCCTGGACATAGCTGCTCCCCATGGTAGCTGAGCAGCATCTAGCCCAGCTTCTTTCCCGAGGCTCACTTGGGGGTGGAACAAAATTGAGGGTCCTCCCTTTGGGGCAGGGGAAGGAGGCGGGGGTTAGACAGGCAAGGCCAGCCCCCTGCCCTGTGCTCTCCAGGCCCCCCCACACTTGGCCTTTGTGAAATTTGAATCTGCTTTTCATTAAGCATAAAACACCAAGCCCTGCTGCACAGAAGGGCTGGGAGAACTGCCCCAACACAGCTGGGTCTGTTGGTTGTATGCAGGGCTGGCAGGATGCTAGCAGAGCCAGAGGCTCAGGCTCAGGCTTCTCCCCAAGGTGCCCTCTTACCTCCGTCCCTTTGCCCTGCAGTGAGGGGGCAGAACCCCTGTCTGCAAAAGCTTTGGGTTCTAATCACAGAAACATCAGTAGTTCAGCAGTTGTTTATTCTGGCCCTTGTCCAAAAAGAACGTGTGTACCTGTGTGCAGGGTGCAAGAGCCTATAACCCACAGTAATGGGAAAGGCCCTGGGCAGGGCAGCTGGGTCTGTGTCCTGTTGGGAGCACTACCTCAGTGTTTTGGGGTGAGGCAAGGATTTGAGGGGCCACTTGGCCTGCCCCTGTGATGCCAATGAGACCCGTTCTGGAAAGGCTGGTTTCCATTGTCCAGGGCCTAGGAAGAAGGGTTGGAGCCAGATTCCTGCTGGGTGTCATCTTGGGGCCCAGATGAGTGCTGAGCTGGTGGGTCCTTGGGCGCCAGGGTCTCTGTGCCATTGGGGTGCTCCACCCTCTCGAATAAGATGAGCATCTCGCAGTGCGGGGTCTGCGGGAACAGGTCCACAGCCACGGCTTTGACCGGCCGGAAGGGGGTCCCTTTCACTCGATTAGATGGGGCTCTGCAGAGGCTGTGGTGGGAAGGGAGTGGTCCTGGTTAGGCCCGTTGCCTAGGCTCCTGTGGGAGCCACGGGGCTGGGTGCTGGTCCCCTTGCACTCCAAGCCCCCACCTTAACTCACTCTATAAAGTTGCCCATGGCCGCCCGGGGGTTGCAGGAAACATACAGGAGCCGCTTGAGGTTCTCAGCTCTGCGGATGGCCAGGATCACTTTGGAATCTGAGGAGGTAGACGCCTTAAGGGAAGGTTCCCAGCTCAAAGAGGTAGCCCAATGGATGTGGACCTCAGGCCTGAGGCTGCACAGCCCGGGGTTCCACCCAGATTCACTGTCCTCCGTTCCCTGTACCACCCCCAAATGGAGTTACTCACGCAGGCCGGCGCGGGGTGGGTCCAGGATAGCAACCAGCTGCTGGGAGGCCAGTTTGCTCACCAGGGCAGGCACCAGGTCCTCGGCCCTCCCACAGTGGAACTCCACATTGCTTAACTCTGCAGATGGTACAGCAAGCCTGTTGGGATCCAGGATGCTCTGCCACACTGCACCCGCCCGCTGGCTGTCTGGTGTGTCCTGAAGCCCCTGACCAGAGGTGTCCTAGGAAAACTCATTGGCCAGGGAGTTTGCTCACCCTCCTTCCCTATCAGGCAGCCCCAGGCATTGTGGGTGCACGTTAGGGATCCTGTTGTGCCTTCTGCAGTCTCTGTCACGTGTCCCCCCCCCCTTCACCCCCCAGCCGTGTAATGGATTCTAGATGTGGTGTTGAGGTATATAGCGGTGGGGACTCTCACCATTGTTGTTGGCATTCACCCGGGCATCCTCCACAGCTTCCTGGCACAGCTCAATCCCCACAACTCTCTTTACCTTCTGAATCAAGGAGAGGGTACAGGCTGAGGGTGCCCTGCACCCCACCCAGGGGCTTGGGGTGGAGAGTAGCAGGGGGGGATTTGGGACAGGCCAGGGGTTTACAAAGTGGTGGTAGTGGGAGGGCTGGGTGAGGAGAGGGCATCCTCAGCTGGGGTGGGAGGGAAGGCTCACCCGGGCCAGGGCCAGGCCGATGGTGCCAGTGCCACAGCACACGTCCAGCACTGTGCTCTCCATATCCAGCTGGGCCCAGTCCTGGATGACTGTATAGAGGACCTCAGCTGCTGGGGTGTTCACCTGGAGGGTGGGCCAGCACAACCCCGGATGTCAAAGCAGCCCCACTGCCCAAGTTTGCCTCCCCCATTGCAGCGCCCCACCAAGTGCCTGCATTCCCCAGGGAACCCCCCCTCTCTGAGACCTGTGGCCAGTCCCTGGCTCATCTTTTTTTCTAGGTCTGATCCCACCCCTTCCCCATCTCTAATTGTGGAAGCACCCAGAGCTAGTGGCCCACCTGCCCTCCATCTATAAGATGCTGGACTTCCTCACTCAGGGCCCCGACTTTAAAAGCAACTTGGTGCTGGCCTCCCACATCCCTAACTTAGAAACTTCTGAATGATGTATGTGTGGGACCTCCCCCATCATCAGACACAGAAGACTCCAGAACTCTCCCCAGAGCCCTGGCACCACCCAGCTCCCACTCCCTACATGTGGCTCTCCAGCAGGCTTATCACAAAGGTCCAGTTAGCGAAACTCTTGTGGCTCCCCTGCCTGAATGCTCTCTCCCAAACGTCTGCAGGCTAACACTTGTCACCCACGCTAGCCCACTAGCCCAATTATGTCCTGGTAGCACACCGAGCCTCCCTCCGTGTGTCTTTATGATCCCCAGGGCACTCGTCTACCTGGAAGAAGGCATGAGGGGAAATCTGGAAGGTCAACCCCAGCAGATCTTCATGGATGTACTGGTCCCCAGCTATGTGCTCCAGGGGCAGGCCCTCTTGGCTGGGAGTCTTTCTGTGGGTGGTGAGGGTCAGTCGGTGTTGCCAGCCTTCGAAAGGATTCAACCCTCCCTCCCATCCAGGCTCCTCACCGCTGTCCCTCCTTCACGAAGTAGAGGCAGGTCACCCCGCTGGCCTTGCCCGGCCCCTCTGTGAAGTGCTGCGCTAAGGAGGCCTTCAGCCCTGCCAGCTCCTCGGGGCTCAGTTTCTGGAGGAAACGGTAGAAAAGGCCCCGTGAGGCTGTATTGCATGCAACCCACTCCGGCTGGGACACTTTCACCCAGCAGGGCCCCCCCAGCCGAGACCTGAGGATGGAAATAGGCAATGGCCATGGCTTGGCCGCGGCGGCTGGTGCGCACGGTCAGCTGCTTCCAGTGGCCCGAGTACGTCTCTGGGTCGTATGCCGAGTACGGAGTAGACCTGCAGGAGCAATAAGCAGCCCTGAGTGTCCCCAACATCTCCTTCCTGCTCTCTCCTTTAGCCACACTCACCAGACCACCGCAGCCATAGGATCCTCACCCCCACCTTTCCCCAGCAGGACTCAGGCGCTCTGCTATAAGACAACATTCCGGAACCTTCTCCCTGCTGCAAGCCCTCACCGGATGAACTCTTGAAAGGCCTTCACCACCCGCTTGGTGGCCTCGGGGATGTGCACAGTGTCGAAGGGGGGCGCCACAGCACACGTCCCGCCCTTGTACTTTCCTAGCCGGCAGCCCACAGTGTTGTCCTCTCCGTCCACTCCGACGCCCACCAGGAACTCACACTTGTTTCGATACTCGGTCTGTGCAAGGTGAGCAGAGGGAGGCAGAGAGACACAGGGGATCTTACCCTGACAGCCCACCACTTGTTCATGGAGAGAACCACAGTGAGAGGGAGAGGGCAGTGTGAGAAGGCTCCCTCCCTTCAGCCCCCTCCCTCCCAGGGTGTGGCAATCCAAGAGACAAGGCCGACAACAGCTAGCAGCCTGGTGACCAACATGAGTAGTAAATGCAAGGCAAGAGGGGTGGGTGAGGGCAGTTTTCTTTAGGAGCACGGGGTAGAGGTGTGTGGGTTTGACCTGCTGGGGCGATGGTCTGACCCCCTCCAGCGGGCAGCAGGCTTTGTTGTGCTTGTGCCTCTGTGAGAGCAGCCAGGGCAGCAGGGCCCGGTTGGTGGTCCCAATTTCCCTGCAGAGTGAGGTGGGACCAGGGTTAGACTCAGCCCGCTGCCCCCAAACCGTCTCCAACTACTCTCCAAACACCTAGGTGCCTAGAACCCTCACTTCCCCCACTGTAACACAGGGGTCTTACTGGCTAGCCCCCCCAAGAGTCTGTGCAGATGCCAAGCAGGTCTGGACAGAGCTCCGGTGTCAAGGGGGTGACTGTGTTCACTCACTTGGCAAGCTTCTGCAGCACCTGCTCACACTCCAGCCGCTTCCTGTCAAGCTGCTCAGCGTAGGGCACCGTCCAAAGAGGGGTCACTACATCAGCCACACATGTGGCTGGAGGCTCACCCTCATCCTCACGCTGCCTCTTCCTGGCCATGGGATCAGCCTTGGGCCTGGCCATGCGCACGCTGAGAGGGCGGCCCTTCCAGAGGGCGCCGTGCAGCACACGCAAGGCCTTGTCCCGCTCGGCGGCGCAGCGGAATGTCACAAAAGCGCAGGGAGGTTGGCCGAAGAGCTTGGTCTTATGGGGCTGCAGGCCAAAGCGGCCCAGAAAGCGTCGCACATCGCTGAAACTGGCATGGCGCGGCACGTTCTGCAGCTCCAATTTGAAGATCTCTGAAGTGAACAAATCGTCCCTGATGTAGCTGTAGAGCCCTGGCTGAGGGCCTGACTGTGCAGCTGTCCCAGCTCCTTCCTCCTCCTCTTTCTCCTCCTCCTCGTGGGGGACTGGGGCGGCAGAGATGCCCAGGGCAGTGCTGCTGTCCTGGCCGCAGCCATCGATTGGCCCAGAGCCCTGTGAGGAGACAGGCATGGGCTGGGATGAGGGATGGACTCCGGATCCTGAACGTCCAGGCTTCATCGCCTCATATCCAGACCTCCATTTAGTGCTTCCTACACCCGGCCCCACCTTTTCTATCATCCTCATCCTCCAATCCCTTCTCTCCCATCTCACACCCCCATCCCCAGTGGTTTCCCACCGTGCCCCCATCTCCATCTCCTTCCATGACGTCCGCCATCGCCGGCCCTCGTCTCTAGCCGGGATCTCCCTTCACTTGTCAGTCATCGTCTGGTCCGTCCTGCTGCCTGGATTGAGAGACCGTCTCCACCGCCTCTCCCTGGACGCACGGGAAGCTCGCAGAGCGCGGGGTTGGGCACCCTGAGGCCGCCTCCCAGCTCCGACCCGCGGGCGGGACTCGAACCCTCGGGGTTCAGGTCCTGGTCTCAGGAATGGGGTGCACCGCCCGCCGGCCAGGGGCTCGCGCCAGTGGATCGCCTCGCCAGCCGCTGGGCAGTCGGCTAGCGCATGCAGACTAGGCGGTGCGCCTCCATCATCCTGGCTTCCGGCTACGTCATCGCCGCGCGCCGGCACCGACTCCAGCACCTGGCTCCCGCATTCTCGAGCCCCGAGACCCCGCGCAGCCGCGGGGCGGAAGTGCGCGCGAGGGCCGTCGGGAGCGCACGCTCTCTGGGCTGCCGGGAGGGCCGGGCATGCGCCGCGGGCGTTTTGGCGGGAAGCGCGGGGCGGGCCGGACAATGATAATGTCCGTCGCCTGAGCCAATAAAGCTGCGCTGGTTTTGAATCACGGCGCGTTTCCCGCCTCCGGGGTCAGGGGTCAGGGTTCGGGTCGCTGGGCGGAGGGAAGAGCAGGCGGGCGGGAGGCGCCGGCGCCAGACGCGGAGTGAAAGAGCTACGAGTAGCCGCCGAGAGGCCCCGGAGCCAGCAACGACCAAGCCAGCCGCTCCGCCGCCGCCGCCGCGCCGCCATGGCGGCCGCCAAGGTGCGGCTGGGCCTGGGGGGGGTAATGGGCCGGGGCCGGGGGCCCGAGGCCGCTACCGGCGGCCACGTGGGCGGCCCGCGCCGTTGCCGCCAACCCCCGCTGGCCTGCGATCTCGGCGCTTGCGGGGCGCCGTGGCGCGGGGTCGGGCTGCGGGGACTGCGGCCTGGGGTCTCGACACATTCGGAGCCAGGATGCGCGGGGCCTGGGGTTGCGGGCCCGGGCCCGGGGTCTGCGGGTGTCTACGCGACCTTGGGGCGGCCCCACCGCCCCATCTTAATTGGTCTCGTGTTCACTTCGCGGCTCTCCTAGGACGCAGGCCGGTTTCCTCCGGCTCGGCCCACATGCGGGCTTGCCACCGAGATCGTGCACCCCTCCTTTCCTCCCTCCCTCCCTCCGTGGTCTACGCCGCACTTCATTCATTCTGGCCTAATCCGAGCGGCCATAGGCCTCTGCGGCGGAGCTCTCGGGGTCCGGGGCGGGGCGGGGCGGGGGGGGGGGGTGGGATCCTGGACGTGCGGACCCAGGGAGGGGGCCCCCCCGGCTTTGTTGGCAGCAGCTGTCTGCCCTGCTGAGCTGGCCGCCGCAGCGCTGCCCAACCGGGGAAAGCATGAAAGCTTATCTTTTCTTTCTCGGCTTCAATCTGTTAATGAAGGGTCCGGGTTTCTTACAGTTCTGTGGATCAAAGCCGCGTGTTCTGTACCTAAGATAAGGTCCTTTGTGTCCTATCTAAAGCGAACCAGGATTTTTAGGCTCTTTTTGACTTTTAATTTCCGAACCAAGATAAAGTTTCCGACAGAACTGTGAATTCCTTGTGAGAGCTGGCAGCCCCAACTTTTTCGCCTAGGAAGCGAGAGCACCCGTTTTTCTCAGCCAGTACGAACTCAACGGGGCGCTTTTTGCTTTCCTTGTCACATTGTCCTCTTTCAGTCCATCGTTGTGCCCTTTGATCTAAACTTGGCGATATCGGTGTCTGCATTTTACGGACGAGGACACTGAGGCTCAAAGAAGTGGTGGCTGAGTTTTTGGAACCCCAGGCAGATGCGATGGGTGCATCCAGAGGAGGGTGCGAGTCCCACCATGTGCTGGGCCGACGTGCAGACCTTTCCTAGTGTGAAAGGCTGTAGGGGACATCTCTTGCTTTGTGGTGAGGCCATTCACTGGTGGGGGTGCCCGCTTTGGACGCTGGGGAGCCCTGGCTCGTGGGCCATCCGTCACCTCTCCACACCTCCCTCCACAGGACAACCATGAGGACCACGATACCTCCACCGAGAACGCAGACGAATCCAACCACGACCCTCAGTTTGAGCCTATCGTTTCTCTTCCTGAGCAAGAAATTAAAACCCTGGAAGAAGACGAAGAGGAACTTTTCAAAATGTAAGTGACTGATCCTGTTGGAGAAGTGGCTATCTTCTGTTTAGGACAGAATTGGTGCTTTTTACGGGGGTGCCCAGGCCTTGGCTTGACCTCTAATTGGACCGAGGCTGAAGAAAGGCCTGGAGTCGTGTGATGACTAATCAAGGCTGCTATTGCAATCCCCTGCTTACATCACTTATTCCTGGGTACCCCTGCTGCTCCGTGGCCAGTGCTGTGGAGGGCACAGGCACTCCCTGGTGTCCTGTGGCTGTTCCTCTGTCCACAAAGGTGCAGCTCCCCATGTCCTGCCGACTCCCACAGCCTGGGTTGAGCAGGGAGTCTACTATTATTACTGTCTTTTATTATTATTATTATTATTATTATTATTTTGCACATGGACTTCAGCATTCTGAAGCTTGTGAATCCTTGATTCATTGTGTTTAACGCACAAAAGAATGCCTGGAATTCCAAACGAAAGCGGGTAGTGTTACAGTTACTGAGGTGACTTTTTAAAAGTTCCTCTGAAAGTGCTTCTTGGTGGCCCCCTTAGTGAGAAGCTACAAGGCATAGTTTTTGGTGGTGGTATTTGGAAGCAGTGCCTAACTAGCAGTGTGTTGTTAAGATTCTGACCTGTGGCCTATTGGGTATGCTCAGAATTACAGGAAAGGCTACAAGTTCATGAGAATAGGGTGTAGTCGTCGTCGTCCCCCCGTGTCGTGTCGTGTGTGTGTGTGTGTGTGTGTGTGTGTGTGTGTGTGTCCCCGTCCAAGTTTGTGGAACTCCTCCCTCTCTCCTCCTCCCCAAATCTATCCAAAATACTGGGTTGTGGTGTGAGTGCTTTGCTTCGGGTGGTGGCAGGGGAGCAGAGGCAGTCACCAACCCTGGGACCCCTCCAATTAAGGAAGGGAGGTTGGGGAGACCAGCTCCCCTCAACTCCCAAGGACCTGGGAAAGCGTTGGGGAGCACAGAGACTCAGTTGGAAAGTTTGTAAGGAGGACGTTCTGATAAAGAGAAGTGTGTGGAAGGCCCTCTGCCCTTATAATTCTGATTTAGGGGAGTGTCGAAGGTGGTGCTTATATAGACCCCCGTGTTTACTGGAATCTTTATGCTTAATCCCTGGATGCCCTTGCCTAAGGACAGTAAACATGTGTTCTCCCAAGATTACTCACCCTACTGATTGTATCTAAAGATAAAAATTCCAATAAAAGCCCAATGAGGCGGGCAATGAGGCTGCTTGGACCCTTGAGCCAGGGAAGTCCCTTAGCCCTCTCCCCACAGTCAAGCTGTGCTGGAGGAATCCGTCCATCCGATGTGCAGGGGCTGCTGGTCGGCCTCGGCAGGAAAGGAGATGGATGTGCCCCTCTGATTTCAGAAGGCGGTTCTCCAAGTCTCTGCTCTGCCCAGAAATGATGCTGCAGCCAGGGCTGGCTTGTCCCACGAGTGAGATCTGCTGGTGGTGCTAGCACTGTCACCTCCTTGTCCCTGTGGGGGTGGGAGCACTGTTGGTGTCCTAGACACAGGCTCTGCCTGAGGGAAATGAGGCCAGTAAGTCTGGCCTTTGTATGTGGCTCTTAACGGTCAAAGCCCTGGGGTCTCCCTTAACAGGATGGAGTTTTGGGGAGAGCAGAATTTTTGCAGGAAGGGGAGTAACAGAGGTGGGGTCCTGTGGGGAAGCCAAAGGGCAGTGTGGTTGGTGATGGGAGAATGTTGGCCTGAGCCCCAGGAGGACTGCGGGGCCCAGGGCTGGGTGCGGCCTTGCCTGGGCCCAGTGAGGCCCTGTTCTTCGCAGGCGGTATTGGGCCAGAGCCTGGTGGCCAGTGGGGGCTGGGGAAACACAAGGGCATCTCACAGCTGAGGGAAAGGTTGGCTCTGGAAGGCAGGGGTCTTTGGCCTCCGTCTGCTTCCATGCTCTCCCTGTGGCCCCACCGGTCACCAGGAAGTTCTGCACCATGTTCACAGACACGCTCAGGAGACAGAGGTGAGCTATTTTGCCGATGAGTCAGGTCTTTGTGTTAGAAAACGTTGTGACAGGCCCTAGTCGGTTTGGCTCAGTGGATAGAGCATCGCCTGCAGACTAAAGGATCCCAGGTTTGATTCTGGCCAAGGCACATGCCTGGGTTGTGGGCTTGATTCTCCCCCACCCATCCTCCCCAGTAGTGGGCATGCAGGAGGCAGCCAATCAGTGATTCTCATCATTGATGTTTCTATCTCTCTCTCTCCCTCACTGGAAAAAAAGTAAAAACGATGTGACTAGAAATCTTTCATTCTTTCTTATCATCATGTTAAAACTGGAATTTGTTTTTTTTGCTCTTTTGGTGACATTTTGGTTTGTAGTTCTTTTAAAAAAAAATATTTTTATTGATTTTTTACGGAGAGGAAGAGAGAGATATAGAGAGTTAGAAACATCAATGAGAGAGAATCATTGATCAGCTGCCTCTTGCACACCTCCTACTGGGGATGTGCCTGCAACCAAGATACATGCCCTTGACCGGAATCGAACCCGGGACCTTGCATTCTGCAGGCCAATGCTCTATCCACTGAGCCGAACCAGTCTCAGCGGTTTGTAGTTTTTGTAGTGCAAAGAAAGGAACGGGTGTGCGTTGAGATATCAGATGCAGCTGTTTGTTTAACACCCAGAAAAGAAGTGCCTTTTCTGTGTCTAAGCTCTCACCTAATGGCTTCTCTCGAAGGCGGGCGAAGCTGTTCCGATTCGCTTCCGAGAACGACCTCCCGGAATGGAAGGAGCGGGGCACGGGCGACGTGAAGCTCCTGAAGCACAAGGAGAAGGGGACCATCCGCCTCCTCATGCGGAGGGACAAGACCCTGAAGATCTGCGCCAACCACTATAGTAGGTGCCCCCGGCTGTGCTTTCCTCTGGGCCCGACACTGCACCGGCCGCTTCCAACCGCGGCAGCCTGCTGGGCTGCGCTGGGGCCCGCGAGTGCGCGCTCACAGTGTGTGTTTTCTTTTAATTTAAACTAGGAAATGAGGTTTGCCAACGTGCCTCAGAACTCAGAGCAGACCTGCAGAGAAGCTTATAGCCCACGGGGGTGTGGACACTGGGCAGGTGGGACCAAGCGGGATGGAGGCAGAGCCCCAGTGTGGCCTCGGAACCAGGCCCGGCCTAAGGGCGTGTGAGTGCGTTTGTGTGTGTGCTCACGTGCCTCTGTGTGTGAAGTGCCCGGGCGGCAGCCTTCCCACCCGTTGGTGTGTTCTGTCCCCACATGGTGTGCCCTGGGGAGGACGTGGGGTTGGAACGGGGTGGGGAGAAGGTGGCGGCCTCGCCCTTAAGAGCCCGTGAAGCTTCACAGGAGCGGGTGAGGCGGGTGGAAGCCCTCAGGCAGGTGTGATGTTAGCGCCGGGCTCAGGCAGTGGGGTGGTTAGGGTTAGCCACCCGAGGCCTGGCCTGGGAAGAGGTGACTGAGGTCAGCGTGTCCTGGACTCCGTGTCTGACCCAGGGCCAGCTGCATTTCTGGTGTGACATGTCTGACAGCGCAAGGCCCCTGTGCTCACAGGGTGACTGCTGTCAGGATCCAGAGTGATGGGTGGGGGGGGGGGTGGTCCTCCTTGTACCACAGTTGCTTCGGGCCCAGTCGGCCTCTGTGTGCCCGTCTCCACATCCCAGCCTGTCCGCTCCTCCCTGTCATTGCCTCTCAGCCCAATTTGAAGTGCCTCCTCAGAGGTCTTCCAGACACTTGTGCTATTTTTAGAGCCTTGCCAGGTGGCTAGGCCGCTTCTGTGTGAGTTGCAGGTGAGTCCTGGGCCTGGTGCACACCACAGGCCCTGATGGACCCGGAGATTGATGGTGGGAGGAGGCTGTGCATGCCCTGCGAGGCACGCTGCTCACCACTCATCTGGGTGGTGATGGTGAAGTGTTGCCCGGGGCTGGGCATGGCCTGTTCCACATCCCGGACGGAGGCCTCTGCAACTGTGGAGATGGGGCAGGTTTGCTTATTCCGGCCATGACTATGTCTTCCGTGACATGTGACCATGTCTACAAGGCTCATATGCCCACTTCCTGTAGCCTTTCCCCCTTCCCGCCCTCGCTGGACTCCCTTGCCAGTTATGTGGCTGAGATTGGTTATGCGATTCTGACTGTGCGCCATTCTGGGTGATCGTCCCACTTCTCAGCTTTTGGCCCTTTGGTGACCCCCACCTTCCAAAGGGTCAGGTCCCCAGGAAGGGCTGGGTCTGCTGGTCATTGTGCCCATGTCTCTCCTGGGTCTGGAGCCTGCACCAAGGGGCGGGTGTGATCAGCTGCATTGGCCTTGGAGCCCTTGACCGCACTGGGATCAGAGATCCTCACCAAGGTACCTCACGGTCAGGGAGCAGGGCCACCCTGTTCTCTGATTTAGGGTGTTCCTGGTTTTAATCAAACATGGGGCATATTAAAAGGAGTTTGGGTAAATTCCAGATTGCCCGAAATCATCCCTGTTTGGCCCAAAATGGGACCTTGGGTTGGCAGCCAGAACTGCAGTCCTGGAGTGGCGTGGCCGGGGTGGTAAGTTGGGCATTTTCCTCATGGCGCTTTTCCTCCAGTCACGCCAATGATGGAGCTGAAGCCAAACGCAGGCAGTGACCGTGCCTGGGTCTGGAACACACATGCCGACTTTGCTGATGAGCGCCCCAAGCCGGAGCTGCTGGCCATCCGCTTCCTCAATGCCGAAAGTAAGCAGGGGCGGGGCGGGCCTCCTGCTGTCGCCCGTGTTACAGTGTAGCAGTTCATTGCAAACAGAAACACTGTTGCTTTTCAGGGAGAAGTGATGGTAATTGGGAAGCTGTGGCGGCAATTGTTACTACCTTGCTATCTGGTGGGCCCTCAAGGAAGGGATCTAAGTGCAGTCAAGCCAGGTGCCCTTCAGTCCAGCAGTGCCTTTCCCTCTTCACCTCGAAGGAGGCTGCACCAGCGGGTTTCCCTTCCCCATCACCTGGGTGCCAGCAGGGGCTGTGCCCAGATCCACAGGCTTAGGCCGATCCCTCCCCGGCTTGGGTGTCTTTTCAGCCCAGATTGTCAAAGCTGTGCCCAGCGGGCCCTGCAGAAGTTGGGTGGGTGCTGGAGCTCAGCGGCCCAGTAGCTCACTGGAGGTGTGAGTGGACCTCACTTCTGCCCTAAGAAGGGGGCCTCTCCAGCAGCCGCGTCACCATGAGTGGAGAGCGGAGCACCTGGGCGGAGGCCCTGGCCCTTGGTTGCATGAGACCATCACGCTGCTGTGTCCAAATTGTTCCAGAGTCAGATGGAAGGAGATAGCTCAGCATAGTCACCAGGCTCTGGAGGGACCTAAGAAATAGTCACTGCACAGTCTGGGCAGACGTGCACCCAGGGTCATGTTAGATGGCCCAACTTGTCAGAATGGCCATGGCACAGGCCCTGAGCGAGTCCTGGCTCTTCACAGCTGCTGGACTTGTCCCCTTCCCTTCTCAGGGTTCTGAGGAAGTCTCTTCTTTCTGCAGATGCACAGAAATTCAAGACAAAGTTTGAAGAATGCAGGAAAGAGATCGAAGAGAGAGAAAAGAAAGGTAACGTGGTGCTCGTGGCTGCGGGGCCTCCTTGCAGACTCACTCTGCACCCGGCTGCAGTCCCAGGCGGGTGCTTTTTCTGTCTGCCACAGAAACATTCCGGGGGCTGCGGCCACCTTGCCCTGTGTAGGGTGATGCAGCTGCCTGGGGACATGGTGCTTTCTGGGGAGTGAGCTGGCCAACCAGGCCCCGGTGCATGCTCAGTGGCCTGGCCTCACTGCACTCTGGCAGGTGGACAGGTCCCAGTGTCTGACTGAATGGACTCTGAGAGGTCCTCATGGCCATTTGCTTATTCAGGGCCTGATAATGGCTGCCACATCGGGTGACCAGACACAACTGAGCAGAGCGCCTGAGGTCCCGGGTGTGGGGGTGGAGGCATGCGATAGAACAGCAGCCTGGCCTGTGGGGAGGGTGTCAGGCTCCGGCGAGGCAGGTGCGTCTCGCCTCGGCATGGCTGGGGAGAATGGGCTTCTCTTCTCTTACCGTGTCCCCGTGTTTCAGGAGGATCGGGCAAAAACGATAATGCCGAGAAAGTGGCTGAAAAGCTAGAAGCTCTTACGGTGGAGGAGAAAAAGGAGTCCGAAGAGGAGGAGACCAAGGAGAAAGCTGAGGAGAAGCAATAAGTCCTCTGCCCTTGTTTTCTGTTCCTTTTTCCTTTTTTAAAAAATTTGCCCTGCCCCTTCTTTTCGGTTTGTTTTTATTCTGTTTTGTTTTTACAAGGGACTTTATATAAAGAACTGAATTCCAACATTCAGGTGGCTTTTTTTTTTTTTTTTTTTTTTTTTGTTGAAGTTTTTGCCCCATCGAAGACGACCAGAAAATCCATTCCCCAGTCATGAAAATGTACTGTGCTAACTTTCTTTTCCATAGTGGAAACACTTATTTATAGTCATCAAACATAGTGAATAAACAACTCATTCGAAACCTTCACGGAGGGCAGGGCCTTGTGTGCGCCGGCCCTGTCCTGGCAGCTGTGTGGGTTCCTGCTGGCTCCATGGTGCTGGGGTGGCCCTCTGGGTCTGACCCTGCTGGTTACACTTGTTCTGCCCTGGACTCTGGGCCACTGTTGGCTACTGGGGCTATGGTATGTCTGAGCTGGTACTAGTGGGGCAACTGGGCTGAGGGAGACCAGTGCTGGGTACTGCTTCCTGAAGGCCAAGTGGTGAGGAATAGAGAGGATTTTTTCTTCTGCCTTTTGGGAAGAGAAAGGAAGATCACCAGATTCCTTGGCTGTGGTACAGGTGTCCAAGCAGGTCTCCAGGCTTCGGCTAAGGCTGTCTCTAGTCGGCCCTCGGCCAGGGAAAGGCCGGTCCCACAGCACCCAATCCAGGCTGTTGCAATGCCTCGGCCCCACTGCCATCGACAGAAAACCACCCCATCGTCCACTTGTTCCCAGCATCCCTCTGGGTGGATTACGGACATCTGCGATGGCTTTATATAAAAAAAATGCTTTCAAGAATGCAAATGGGTTAGTGCCATTTGGGGGTCTGTCTTGTAGATGGGCTGCCTCTGTAAAACCATCCTGTGCAAGGGAGGATTTTGAGTGTGCCGGCAGGCTTTTGAAAACACACGGTCTTACCTGGGACGGTATGTTCCTGGCAAGTAACCAGGCCTCTGGGAGCTGTGGCCTCCCACCCTCCAGCAGGGGAGGAGCAGATTCGTGCCCACCCAGAGGGGATGTGCTCACGCCGCCCGGGGCTGTTTGACCCTGTGGCTAAGTCTACTGGGCCCTGTGTCCTGTGATGTCTGTCCAGTCTAAACCGGCCGTGGTCACTGAGGGATGCACTCCAAAGGAAGTCACTCGTTTTAAGGCTAAAGACTTCGTGGGCCAGCGTTGCTGCGTCCTGGTAGCCTTAGGCCTCGGCACAGGCCAGGGTTGGTGCAGTGCTTTTTCCCACCCAAGGAAGGACACTGGGTGTGCATCACTCCTGAACCGGAGTGGCGATGCTGTGAGGGGCAGTGCCCCTTCCCGAGAGGCCTGTGCTGGGTGCACTGTGAGAGGTCCCAGGGCCGTGACCTTCGGGAAGGGTGGCCAGCCATGCCTTCAGCACAGAATGGATGCTCCTGCTTTGGGCTCCAATGAAAGCTAACCCCAGGCTGACATCAGGTGGGGAAGGCCTCAGGATCGCTGGAGGAGGGGGTGCTGTGACCAGGGAGCATTTAAAGGTGCGGCTGTTCACACTGCAGAAGGCGCTGCAAAGGGAGACATGCGAGCATGAGCAAGGACGCCAGCAGGGGCCCCTTTAGCCCCCTCACTCCCTGCCCCAGCCAGTGTGGCACAGGTGGGGATGAGCCAGAATTGAGGTGCTAACAAAACGGGGGAAGAAGAGAGGAGGTGACCTATCGCATTCCTGCAGGTGGGAAGGGGGGGAGGGGTGTGGTGGGAAAGCTGCACTTCCCTTTCCCTGGGATCTTAACTCCTTGGGTAGAGGATTTCTGGGCTGTGGCCTCACTGGGTCCACCCCACCCAGCTCCCCCTCTGCAGGGACCTCAGCAAAGACATGAGAGGCCTTCCTATTCCCAGCACTTGGCACTCTACTGCTGTCCTGGCACCCTACACAAAACAGGGACCTGCTTTGGGGGCAGTGGGTGAGTCGTTGGGAGGAGCCTATGTCCATGTCCTGTTACCAGAGGTTGGGGTGCGGGGTGGGGGGTGCATTCATGCCCTATACAGGGCTGCAGAAGGGCAAGAACAAGGGTGAAGTGGTGGGGCAGGGTTTGGCTGGAGTGGTGTCCCCTGTCTCCAGGGCCTATTTGTATTAGGACTGTAGGGCTACGACTTCTCAGCTAGGCTTGAGGAGGGGTCTGCTCGGGGGGGGGGGGGGCGGGGGGGTGTTTCTGTCCTTTGTCCCTCTTTGCGCCTTGAATCCACCCCACTGCCCCAGACCCTATCATAGAGCTAGTCTCCCACAGGCCGGGCCTCCCGGAGTGGGCAGAGGCTGCAACTGGATGTGGGAGAAGGCACATCACCATGTCTGCTGTCAATCTGCATTACTGCGCTGAGGTCTGGCCCCCATCCAGGGCTCCTAAAAGCAGCCTGCATGCAGCCTGTGGGGCTGGGGCCTTAAGAAGGCCCACCTACCGGCTTGGAGGGGCTGTTGGTTGGCCCAGGAGCCACCGGGCCTGGGCCTGCGTCTGCATGGCCGGAGGAGACTGTCGCAGAGGCACTTGGTGCTCACTGCGGAGGCCTTGGAGCTTGATGGCGGTCCCCACCTCCCACAGGCGCTGGGCTCGCTACCAGACTGTCCCGCCCACCCCGCGCCGGCTCTGCTAGGCGGCGGGTCCACCTTAAGCGGCGGCGGCGGCGGCGGCAGGGGCGGGGGGATTTCCTGCCGGAGGCGGGCCTGACCAGGGGCCTATCCCACGCAGGGGCAGCGTGCCCGGGGCTCCCAGAGGGGCACTCCACCCTGCCCCGGGAGGCCGGGGGACTCGCCTGGCCCCGGGCCTTTGATCCACCCACACTCCCAGCCTGCAGCTTGGGCCTGGAGGCCAGGCGCCAACTCCCCCTGCCTTTAGGCTGTCCTGTCCGCTAGCGGACCTCCTCCGGCCCAGGGGCCCGAGGGCTGCGCGGTGGGAAGGAGGAAATACACAACCACGGTGCCCGTGCTGGGTCACCACTGACCCCCTCGTGGCGGGGGGGAGGGGGCTCCCGATGAGACGGGCCTGGCGCTATGGAGCATGGCACGGAGCAGGGGCACCCGCCTGCCCGCAGGGACACGCTGCCCCGGGCTGCTTAGGGAGAGGTCTGCGGACTGGACACAGGCTGCCTGGTGTCCTCCACCGTGTCCAGCTGGTGGGCATGGCTTTGCAGGGGTGCCCTGGCTGTGCTGTGCGGCTCCAGACAGCCACGGGCACTCCCTAGACCGGGGCACCCAGGCGAGGGGAGGCCCGCTATCTGAGGGTGCAGGGCCCGGGGCAGCGGGAGCTCGGGAGTCCCAGCCTTTGGGGGGAGTCCCAGGCTTTGGGGGCGGCTCCCGCAGCCAGCATCCTCCAGAGGGCGTGGCGGTGGGCGGGGCGTCCTCCCGGGCCTAGGGCCCCGCCCCGCGCCGCGCCCCCCGCCGCCCGGGCCACCTTAAGGGGCGCGCTGACATCAGTGCGCGCCGCCGCCGCCCCGCCCCGGGGGTGGGATTTCCTCCTCCGCCGCCGCCGCCGCCGCTGCCGCCGCGGGTCCTGCGCCGCGTCCAACCCGCCCCGCCGACCCCGGCACGACCCCGCCGGCCCCGCCCGCCAGGCCCCGGGGAGGGATGCGGCGGCGCGGCGCCCAGGATGCCCCGCAGCCCCGGGACGCGCCTCAAACCCGCCAAGTACATCCCCGTGGCCACCGCCGCCGCGCTGCTCATCGGCTCCAGCACCCTGTTCTTCGTGTTCACGTGAGTCCGCCGGGGCGCAGGGGCCGCGGCCCGGCCAGGAGGGGTGGTAGGGACCGGGCGCAGGGACCGGGCACAGGGGGCTGGGCAGGACAGGGCTGGCACCCAGGGCTCTGGGCAGCGGGAGCCCCCACCTTGGGCTGAGGCCGTGGAGGTGCCTGTCCTGGGCACCCGGGAAAGGTGAGTCCTGTGTGTGTGTGTGGGGGGGGGGGGACGGGACACCAGTGCCTAGGGGGCACCTAAGGAGTGTGCCAGGCAGGCCCCGGGCGTGAGCTCCCTGGGCCTGGACAGGAGAGTGTGGGCAGCGGCTGCCCAGGGTGTGGCTGCAGCCCTCCCCTCCCCGCAGGCTTCAGGAGGGGACGTGGGCTGCCCAGAGCCACCGGCCCTTCCTGCAAGGAGCTGAGGACGCCTCTGAGGGTCCCCTCTCCTGGCTGTCTGGCCGGGGGGGCCGGAGCCAAGTTGCTCCTGAGGAGGTGTGGTCTCTAGCCCCTCTGCCACGTGCCTGTCCCCATGGCCCCGGTGACACCGGCGTGGCGGTCCCCTCCTCCCTTCCCTGACCTTCACGGGAAAGCCCAGTGATCACAGCTGGAGGGCCGGGGCCAGGCCACACCCAGGGACACTGGCCCCGCGGGCTTTGGAGCCCTTGAGGCAGAGAGCAAGCAGGGCGCTGGTCTTTGGCAGCTTTAGACTCAGGCTGGCTCACAGGTCAGAGTAGGGCAGCTCCGTCCCCACGATCATAACCCCCCCTTCTCACCCCCAGATCTCCTCTGGCACAGGGGGGATTGGGGGCTTCAGACTTCAGCCATGAGGGTCCGCGACCACCCCCTTCCGCTCATCCCAGGCTTAGACACAGCTCTGGGGACCAAAGCCGGGGGACCTCTGTTCAGAGGCAGGTCAGCCCTCCGCCCCGAGAGAGAGTGCACCTGAGACAGGGTGAGCAGGGGCCGGCCTGGCACCCTCCACATGAGCAGCGTGGCTGGCTGGCTGCCTGGTGCTCGGCGAGGCTGCGCCGGGTGTCCGTGGAGGCGGACGAGGCCTCTACCTGGACTCCGGCGCTGGGTAGGTGCCACAGGCTGCCGGGAGCGTGTTTAAAAAAGGCCTGTGTGGTGTGTGGACGGGGCTTATTTCTGGCTTTGGTGAGCAGGCGGATTCTTGTCACTCAGAAGCTGCTGGCTGTGGGGCAGGGAGGAGAGGGGCAGGTGGGCAGCAGGCACCGGAAAGCGGGGCGGGGAGGGGGGAGGGGGGTGGCGGCGGGTCCTTCTGGGGCTCCTGCAGGGGTGAGGCCCCGCGCGGTCCTGGCTCTGGGGTCAGGGTGGAAGGTTCGAGGGGGTGGGGAGGGTCTCTGCTTGACCATCTCAGGTTCTCATTTCCTACGTGCACTTCAGCTTTTTTTTTTTTTCCTTCCAACTTTCAAAGCCATATGTGCTCTCTATGGAAAACTTGTGAAATGCAGGGAAAGGGAAAAAAAACAACAACATTTAAAAAGACATTGAAATGGACCTCACCCCAGAGAGCCCTTGTCTCTTTCTGTGGGCTCCCCTGGCCTTGCTGAAGGATGCCTGTCCTGAGGCTGTGACCTCAGAGGGCTCTTGCTCCTTGTCCTGGGGACCTGACCCTCCCCGAGGCAGTGGGCTCCAAGGCCAACCTTCCTCTGTGCTCACAGATGGGGGTCTGGAGTCAGGGACGCCATGCTAGGAGGAGGGGCAGGATTCCTTTGGGGTACCCTGTGCGTGGCTGTGTGTCCCTGTGGCAGGATGGGGACCCGGGGGCACTGGTCGGGGTCCAGGTGGAGTGACCACCTAGCGAAGGGAGCCTCGCTCATCCCCAGGACTGGGCTCCCCAGTACCTGACCCCGAGGTCACATTGTTTGGACTGAATGAACGCTGGCCTGCCCCTGCCCCTGCCCCTGCCCTGGTAGCTGGGTTCCTGAGCAAAGGGGCTCTGTGGGACAGGCCTGGCCCATGAATGCTGGCACAGTCTGCCAGTTCTGGGCAAGCAGGGGTCCAGGCGGTCCCCTTCTTAGGACTTTCATCGACCCAGACCCCATGCTTCTGCCCCGTGTCTGCCCGGGCCTGCCCCAGACTCAGACACGCGCTTCCCTGTCCCTCTCCCCACCCTCAGGCCCGAAGGGCTGTCTCCTCTGCCTTTGATCCTCGGACTTCCCTGGATGCTGAGGGCCTCAGGCCCCCCCCCCCCCCCCCCCCCGCGCTGCACGCGGTAAACATGAGATGCCCCTTTAGGGCAGGTCCACACAGGCAGCGGCTCCTGGGGTCATGCGAGGTGAGGAGCCAGGCCGGCTCGCCGAGGGGGCTGGGACCAGCGGCACGTTCAGACTGGGACCGTGTTGCTAGGACGGTCTGTGCACGGGGAATGTGCCGGAAGGTGGGAGGAGGCCTCCCCTGAGGATGGGGAGCACATCGTAGGGCAGGTTCCCTGAGGCCCTCCTCTTCCAGGAAGCCTTCCGGGGTTCCCGTGTCCCCCTGCGCCCCAGGGCCAGGTGGGGCCAGGTGGGAGGTGTGTGGGAGGGCCTGGGCTTTTGCCCCTGCCCCTTACTCCTCCCAGAGCCCCTTTGCAGAAGGACAGGGACCCTGTGAGGATCAGAGGGCTGGGCGTGCTGGGCCGGATACCGATGCCGGGGGCTGGGCCGGGCCATCTTGCCTAGGCCGGCGGGGGGGGGGGGGGGGGGGGCAGTGGGTTGATTCTGGGATGTCGGGGCTGGTTCCCAGGGTGAAGCTGAGCCCTCCCCAGGCTCAGAGGTCCAGACAGGCAGCGAGGCCCAGCCTGAGACAGCGGGAGGGCCAGCCCAGGACCAGGCCAGACCACGGTGGGCCCTGGTGGGCAGAGCCGCTGGCAGGGGCATGGGGAGGGGGACTTGGTGTGAGCCCCATGCCAGGACTTGCTGCCTGTGGCCTGCTGAGCCTCAGTTTCCCTCTCTGTAAGGATCAGATGGGTGGGTGCACCCGGGCACAGTGGCCACAGACCCTCTGGTGCTGGGTATCCCAGTGCGTGAACACAGACTGGTAATGACGATCCCAGTTTTAATGAAGATGCCCGAGTGAAACATTTCGGTCCACATTGAACTTTGGTGCACACGTGGCCCCTGCATCGCCCCCACGCCCCCTGGGTGGTGTCTCCCCGTTGGCCTCGGCGGGACCTGGGGCCTCAGCACGGTGGCGAGGGGTGGGGAGCTCACAGCAGTGGTGTGAGCCCCGGCGCTGGAGAGGCAGGGGCGGGTCAGCGAGGAGGCTCAGGGCTTCAGCTCGTTCCCCCTCCCTCTGGGCTCCCCTGGCCCATTAGCTGTAGCCAGCAGCGGGCGGCCAGCCCCTGCCCAGCAGGGCGAGCCTACAGGGCACGGTCGCCTGGGTGGGGGCGGGGTTACTTCCCTGTGGGCAGAGGGGCCCTCCTGGAGCCGAGGACAGACTCAAGGTGGGCTGAGCAGAGCTGCCTGTCAGGTCCTGCCCGGAGCTTGTGTGTCCTCACACATCCTTATGTTTACGTGTCCCAGAGCACAGGGAAGCCGGTGTGTGTGTGTGTGGGGGGGGGGCAGTAAGAAGCAGCCCAGCCCGGGTTGGATGGGGCTGGGTCAGTTGGATGGGGCTGAGGTCACTGGATGGGGTCACTGACCTCAGCCCCATCTGCACTTGTGAGAAACGTGTGTTCACAAGTGCATATGTCTGTGATTATGCAGGTGTGCCTGTGTGGCCATGTATGTGTATCCATGCAGGCGTGCTAGTGTGTGCACAAATGTACCTTGAGCACGTGTACATGAGTGTTCACACATGCATGCCTTTTATGCACAATTACGTGTGCACATGAGTCTCTGTGCATGCTTGTTCAGCGCACACTTATGCATCCACACATGCATGTCTCAAATGGAGCGTGTTTGTGCGTCTGTGTGTGTTCTGCGCACGTGTGCGTGCACCTGCCCCTGCGTGTTCACATGGGTACATGCATGTGTCTGTGCACGTGTTTGCATGGGCTCTTTCATCGTCCCCCCTCAGCCCACATGTTTCCCGAGGTGGCTGGGTTCCAGGCCTTGGCAGCCTTGGCCAGTGAGCCATCCCCCTTAAGCATGAGCCCAGCCTGAGCTCCCCTTACGGCACTTTCTGGTGGGTGCAGGCCCCCTGAGGAGCCGGGGGTGGGGGACGGGGACAGATTACATGGGAGTGCCTAATCTTTGGGTCTGAATCATCTGGGGGGATGGAAAGGGGAGGCGGAGTGGGCAGTGGCTCAGGTCCCAGTCAGAGGACCTGCCCCCCTCCCAGCCTACCCAGCACCAACCGGGGCCTGCCCCCTCCTGGGTGCGTGCGGCCCCGGCGGTGGACAGAGTGGACAGAGACCGCCCAGCGTCTCCATGTCAGCATGGGCCCATCACAGTGCCGATTTCCAAGCCTGACCCAGTGCTGCCCGGCTACACCCTCCCCCCAGCCTCAGGCCTCTCGTCAGGGCCACTGTCCAGCCCCTGTGGCCTGGGCTTACCAAGGCTCAGGGAGGACAGAGCAGTACAGGCTGCCCGGGCCAGTGGGAGCTCTGGTCAGCAGAGGGGTGGGGGCTGCCCGGGGTGGGGGCGGGGTTCAGCCTACGTCATGGCTTGAATCCCAGCTCTGACGCAGACTTGCCCCAAGGCCATGGGCACGTGTCGAGCCTTCCGATACCTGCTCCTTGTCTGAAAAACGGGAAGGAGCTGAAGCTGGATTGGCTCAGTGGACAGAGCCTCAGCCTGCGGATGAAAAGGTCCCAGGTTCGATTCCGGTCAAGGGCATGTACCTTGGTGGCGGACACATCCCCGGTGGGAGGTGTGCAGGAGGCAGCTGGTCGGTGTTACTCTCTCGTTGATGTTTCTAGCTCTCTATCTCTCTTCCTTCCTCTCTGTAAAAAAAATCAATAAAATATATATATATATATATTTTTTTTTTAAATGGGAAGGACAGGCGAGAAGCACCCCACATCTCCGACAGCCGGAGGGCGGCCAGTGGGTCTGGTGTATTCATCAGCCAAACCCGGACACAGTGGTGGGCGGGGCTCGCTCTCCAGTCTCCCCCACGTGCCCTGCCTTCAGGGCCCACCTTCCTGCCGCACCCCCTGTCCTGTCCACCCAGCTCCCGGCCTCAGTCCCCCGGTGCATCCTGGGCTCCCTCGGCCTCTCCGTCCGCAGACCAGGCTGCCCCCGCCGGCCTCGGGCTGCTCAGGTGCACGAGGGCCCTTATTGGCCTTAAGCTTCCACTTGTCTTGAAACTCTTCATACTTTTTTCCTTTTTTTAAATATATTTTATTGATTTTTCACGGAGAGGAAGAGAGAGGGATAGAGAGTTAGAAACATCAATGAGAGAGAGAGTCATCGATCAGCTGCCTGTTATACACCCCCTACTGGGGATGTGCCCGCAACCAAGGGACATGCCCTTGACCGGAATCGAACCCGGGACCTTTCAGTCCACAGGCCGACGCTCTATCCACTGAGCCAAACTGGTTTCGGCTCGTCATGCTTTTTTAAAAATTAATTTCTTTATTGATTATGGTATCGCTGATTTGTCCTCAACTCCCCCGCCCCGCCCCCCCATTGCAATCCCCCACCCCTCCAACTCCTCATACTTTTTAAACCAGCGGAACATTTTCATTTTGGCAGGGATGACGTGGCCAGCCCTTCCCAGACGCTGCCATGGGGACCTGGTTCAAACCCCCCTCTCCCCCCGTTTGGGGTCCACAGCGCTCCCTTTCTCCGTGGGCGCCGGGCGTGCTTGAAAAGGCCACCCCCGTGGGCATTGGGGCCTGGGCCCCCGCCCCCCGCCTTGCTGGGCCGACCAGGCCTCGGGGGCCCACGGCTGTCGCGCTGAGTGGGATTGGGTCGCACGGAACAGCGTCTGTGTGCTGGGCCTCCGCAGGCAGGGGTGGGGGTGTGGACGGTAGGGAAGGGTCTGTCGGGGGTGCTCCGGGGTGCTCCGGGCCGCCCGGGAAAGGGGTGGCAGAGGAGGGCCCTCCTGGCGGAGGGAACCCCGTCCGCAGGCTGTGCATCCCCTCCACGGCGGGTCCTTCCTGGAGACGGGGCCGGGCGCTCGGGCTCCGGTGCCAGGCGTGCTGCTGTGGGCAGGGAGGCTTTAAATAGCTGCTCGCCTCCCACTAAAAATAGCGGCGTTCTCGGCGATGGAGGTGGTTGCCGGGTGGCGGGCTGGCCTCCGGCCAAGGGGGGCGTGGGTGCGCAGTGTGGCCGGCACGCGCTGGGCGGCGACGGGCGGGGCTCACGGGCGGGCTGCTGCGGGGATCCCCCGTGCCCTGCACCCCGACTTCACAGGGAGTCTCGGGACTGGGGAGGGAGCAGCCCCCCCGGAGTGTCCCTGCTTGTCCCAGCAGCCAGGGACCCTGGGAGGGAGAGACGGGGAGCCTGAGGCCGCAGGGGCTTTGTGGGTGCAGAGGGAGGGGACTCAGGGACCCGCTGGGAGTTGGGTGGGGCGGGGGCCAGAGGCCGGGGGCCCAGGGACTGAGGGAGGGCCGGGGGGGGGGGCGCTCTGGTTAGGCCCCAGGAGAACCAAGGAAGAATCTGTCTGTGTCGCCGAAACCGGTTTGGCTCAGTGGATAGAGCGTCGGCCTGCGGACTGAAAGGTCCCGGGTTCGATTCCTGTCAAGGGCATGGACCTTGGTTGCGGGCACATCCCCGGTAGGGGGTGTGCAAGAGGCAGCTGATCGATGATTCTCTCTCATCGATGTTTCTAGCTCTCTAGCCCTCTCTCTTCCTCTCTGTAAAAAATCAAATAAAAAATATATATTTATATATACATACACATACACACACACACACACACACACACACATATGAATCTGTCTACGGCAGAGCACCCATCAGGGAGGTATGCATGGCCCTTACGGGCAGCAGGAGTCTGGGAAGGCTTCCTGAAGGAGGGGGCAGTCTTAGAGCCAAGCGGTGAGAGATTTCGAAGGGGTGGGGGCGTCGTCCTTTCCTGGAGTCTCCCCCCCCCCCGCGTTCTGCATGGTCACTGGGGGGGGAAGGTGACCCACTGAAAAGGAGGCGCTGCCAGATGGCCCAGACTCGGAGGTGGGCCCCTCAGGGAAGAGCAGGGACAGCTCCAGGCTGCACTTGCTGGCTGGGAACCGGGGCTCCTGGCACCCAAGGGGCCCCGCCGGGCGGGGACAGGTGCAGGTGAGGACAGAGGTGGCCTGAGCCACCTGGCGGGTCCCTGGCCTCTGCCAGTCACGGTGCATGGACAGGGCGGGCTCCTTTCCCTCCGGGGAGCCTGGGAGAGACGCTGGGGGCGGGGGGAGGCTGTGGTGGTCACCCCTCCTCCAAGCCGTGCCACCCCAGGCCCGTGGGCCTCTCTGAACCTCCGTTTTCTCAACCGTGAGTTAAATTCCCAGCAGCCACCAGGGGGCTTGCTGGGGCTAGAGCTGGCACGTGGAGCTCATGCACCACGCACGGCGGGCATGGCCCGATGGCTGAGCAAAGGACAGGTGGGCAGGGGTCTTGCAGGCCTGAACATGCGTGTACAGACGTGATTTCTCCGCCCCGCGTCCCCTCCCCACCGCCTGCCACACTGCCGTGCCCTGCAGGTGCCCGTGGCTGACACGCGCCCTGTCCCCGGCCGTCCCCGTCTACAATGGCGTCATCTTCCTCTTCGTGCTGGCCAACTTCAGCATGGCCACCTTCATGGACCCCGGCGTCTTCCCCCGAGGTAGGGCCTGCGCGGGCGGGGCCGCCCCTGTCGCTCTCACTCCGGTGTGAGTGGCTGCCCCTGGGGTGGGGGGAGTCTTCGGGGAGGGGGCTCCTGACGGGCGGCCGGGTGGCCGGGATGGGGAGGGGGCTCCTGACTTGCGGGCCGGTGGCCGGGGTTGGGGAGGGGCTCCGGACGGGTGGGCTGGCGGCCGGGATGGGGAGGGGGCTCCGGACGGGTGGCCGGGATGGGGAGGGGGCTCCTGACGGGCGGGCCGGCGGCCGGGATGGGGAGGGGGCTCCTGACGGGCGGCCGGGATGGGGAGGGGGCTCCTGACGGGCGGGCCGGTGGCCGGGATGGGGAGGGGGCTCCTGACGGGCGGCCGGTGGCCGGGATGGGGAGGGGCTCCTGACGGGCGGCCGGCGGCCGGGATGGGGAGGGGCTCCTGACGGGCGGCCGGCGGCCGGGATGGGGAGGGGCTCCTGACGGGCGGGCCGGTGGCCGGGATGGGGAGGGGGCTCCTGACGGGCGGCCGGTGGCCGGGATGGGGAGGGGCTCCTGACGGGCGGCCGGCGGCCGGGATGGGGAGGGGCTCCTGACGGGCGGCCGGCGGCCGGGATGGGGAGGGGCTCCTGACGGGCGGCCGGTGGCCGGGATGGGGAGGGGCTCCGGACGGGTGGCCGGGATGGGGAGGGGGCTCCTGACGGGCGGGCCGGCGGCCGGGATGGGGAGGGGGCTCCTGACGGGCGGCCGGGATGGGGAGGGGGCTCCTGACGGGCGGCCGGTGGCCGGGATGGGGAGGGGGCTCCTGACGGGCGGCCGGTGGCCGGGATGGGGAGGGGCTCCTGACGGGCGGCCGGCGGCCGGGATGGGGAGGGGCTCCTGACGGGCGGCCGGCGGCCGGGATGGGGAGGGGCTCTCCCGCCAGGGAAGTCACCCCCGCCGCGCCCTCGGCTCCGCCCGCAGCGGATGAGGACGAGGACAAGGAGGACGACTTCCGGGCGCCGCTGTACAAGAACGTGGACGTGCGGGGCATCCAGGTCCGCATGAAGTGGTGCGCCACCTGCCACTTCTACCGCCCGCCGCGCTGCTCCCACTGCAGCGTCTGCGACAACTGCGTGGAGGTGACCGCCGGCCCCGCCCCCCCTCCGCCCCTCCGTCCCCTCTCCCCGTGTCCCACCATCCCCCTGCCCCCCGCCCCACCCCCTCCGTCCCCCGCCCCCTCCGTCCCCTCCGTCCCCTCTCCCCGTGTCCCACCATCCCCCTGCCCCCCGCCCCCGCCCCCTCCGTCCCCCGCCCCCTCCGTCCCCTCCGTCCCCTCTCCCCGTGTCCCACCATCCCCCCACCCCCTGCCCCTGTCCCCCCCACCCCCGTCCCCTCCGTCCCCCCCGCCCCCGCCCCCTCCGTCCCCCGCCCCCTCCGTCCCCTCCGTCCCCTCTGCCCCCTCTCCCCACATCCCACCATCCCCCTGCCCCCCTGCCCCCGTCCCCCCCGACCCCTCCGTCCCCTCCCCCCACGTCCCCAGTTCCCTCCGCCCCCGTCCCCTATGCCCCCTCCTCCCGCGTCCCACCTCTGCCCCCGTCCCCTCCATCCCCCCCCGCGTCCTATACCACTCCCCTGCCCCTCGCCCCTGCCCCCTACGCCCCCTCCCCCCACGTCCCCCCCGCCCTCCCCCCCCTCCCCTCCATCCTCTACCCCTGCGTCCCGCCCCCCGGCCGCCCTGACGTGCTGCTGCTCCCGCCCAGGACTTCGACCACCACTGCCCCTGGGTCAACAACTGCATCGGCCGCCGCAACTACCGCTACTTCTTCCTGTTCCTGCTGTCGCTCAGCGCCCACATGGTGGGCGTCGTGGCCTTCGGCCTGGTCTACGTGCTGAACCACGCCGAGGGCCTGGGCGCCGCCCACACCACCATCACGTATCCTTGGCCCGGCAGCGGTGGGGTGGACTGGGGGCCGCGCTTCTGGGGGAAACGGAGACACGGAGGGGGGCGGGGCGGCTGCCTGGGGACCCCCAGGGGGCGGCGGGAAGTCTGCCCACAGGACCTGCTCGGGTCTCCGCCGCCCTCGGCCGTTGGCCTTAACGGGCCAGCATGGCTGTCATGTGCGTGGCCGGCCTGTTCTTCATCCCCGTCATCGGCCTCACCGGCTTCCACGTGGTGCTGGTCACGCGGGGGCGCACGACCAACGAGCAGGTGCCGGCCCTGCGGGGGGAGGGGGTGCGCTGGGACAGGGACGGGGGTCCCCGATGCTGCCCCGGGACCCTGGGGGCCGGGGCACGGCTGCAGGTGGGGGCGGGGAGGCTGTGGCCAGCGTACCCAGGTGGGCGGAGCTCGGCCGCTGCAGCCAGCGGGGACTCGGGGTGCAGGAATTCCACAGCCCCCTGCAGCCCCCTGACCGGCCACCCGGGAGGAACCCCACCCCGCGCTCCCTCTGCCCACGGCTGAAGGGCCCCTTGTCCACAGGTGACGGGCAAGTTCCGCGGGGGCGTGAACCCCTTCACCCGCGGCTGCTGCGGGAACGTGGAGCACGTGCTGTGCAGCCCCCTGGCCCCCCGGTGAGGCCCGGGTGGGGTGTTGGGCGGGGAGTGGGGGGGCCATGCCCGGGCTCGGGGTGGGCAGCCGCAGACCGTAAGCCCGGTCTGCGTCTGCCCCTGGCAGGTGGGGCGGGCCCTGCCCTCGGGGGGCGTGCAGACCGGGCCGGCCCCGCCACTGCCCCCTCTCGCCCTCTCGTCCGGCGCAGGTACGTGGTGGAGCCGCCGCCCCGGCTGCCGCTCGCCGCGCGCCTGAAGCCACCCTTCCTTCGGCCCGAGCTCCTGGACCGCGCGCCTCCGCTCAAGGTCAAGCTCAGCGACAACGGGCTGAAGGCTGGCCTGGGCCGGAGCAAGGTGGGGGCCCCGGGGTGGGTAGGCGATGGGGTGAGGCCGCGAGATTGGAGGGGCCGGGGAAGCACGGAAGGCGGAGGCGTTGGGCAGGTTCTGGGGGAGGATCTCCGTCCGGGGGCCCCAGAGAGGCCCGCCCTCTGCCCACCCCTGACCGCGCCCCCTCCCAGTCCAAGGGCAGCCTGGACCGGCTGGACGAGAAGCCGCTGGACCTGGGGCCGCCGCTGCCCCCCACGTCGGAGGCTGGCACGTTCGGCGGGGACCGGCAGACCCCGCGCCCGGGCAGCGCTGGTGAGGCGGGGCCGGCCACGCGAGGGGCGGGGGGTGGACGGACCCTGTCCTGACCGCGGCCATCGCCCCCAGAGAGCGCCCTGTCGGCTCAGAGGACCAGCCCCCCGACGCCCGCCATGTACAAGTTCCGGCCGGCCTTCCCCGCGGGCCCCAAAGCGCCTTTCTGTGGACCCGGCGAGCAGGTGAGGCAGCCTCGCCCCGGGAGGCCCTGCCGGCGGTATGGAGGGCGTCTGCGGGCCCCCCCACTGCCGCCGTCCCGGCGAGGGCCGGCGGGCGGGAGTGGCACAGGGTGTCGTGGGCGGGGCTGGCACGGCGGTAGGCGGCTGCCCCCGGGAGCTGCATGTGCCGGGATGCCAGGAATGGCACCCTTAGTCCCGCCGCGAGGCCCACGGGAAGGCTTCGGAGGAATCCGCGATGGTGTGAGAGAGCACATTGTCTGCCCGCGTCTCAGCACTCTGTGCTCGCCGAGGAGCCATTGGCGCCCGCTCCGGGCTGCCAGGAATTCCCCGGAATTCCCCAAGCGTTCCCAGGCCGGCCGCCCGCCTTCCCGGCCACTGGGAGGCAGCCCTCGACCTGCGTGTCCCTCCCCCCGCCATTCCCCCAAAGCCCCCCTTCTCGGGGTCCACTGGTCTCGGCAATGACTCGGAGCCTCGCTGGCCAGTGTGCGGTGGCCCTGCTTGGCCTAGGGGTGGGCGTTAGAGGCCCTCATCCAGGGCGCCTTCTTGGGGTTTCCTTGGCTCCTGCAAAGGGCCTGGGGGTCCCCCCGAGGCTGGCCCCTGAGGCCACAGTTGTTCCCACCCATGCCTCTTGTTTTTTTTTTTTTTTAATATTTTATTGATTTTTTACAGAGAGGAAGAGAGAGGGATAGGGTGTTAGAAACATCGATGAGAGAGAATCATCGACCAGCTACCTCTTGCACACCCCCTACTGGGGTTGTGTCCACAACCAAGGTACATGCCCTTGATCAGAATCGAACCCGGGACCTTTCAGTCCGCAGGCCGACGCTCTATCCGCTGAGCCAAACCGGTTTCAGCTTTTTTTTTTTTTTTTTTTTTTTATATATATATAATTGATTTCAGAGAGGGAAGGAAAGGGAGAGAGAGCTGGAAACATCAATGAGGAGAGAGGATCATCGGTCGGCTGCCTTCTGCATGCTCCCTACTGGGGGTTGAGCCCAGGCATGTGCCCTGACCGGGAATTGAACCCCGACCTTCTGGTTCATAGGTTCATAGGTCGATGCTCCACCATGGAGACACGCCAGCTGGGCTCAGTGCTTTGAGGTTTTGCAGGTTCTTGTCCCCAGCCTGAGCCTCGCATCACTTAAGACCCCGTCCATGTGGCTGTCCCCTGAGCTGGGTGGGCTGCCAGGACACTGACTGCCCTTGGGTGTCCGTCGTGGCCCTGGTGTGCCCCAACACTCAGAGGTGGGGTGCCCAGGAGAGGGCCCTGGTCCCTGTGTGGTTAGGACGTCGCCTCAAGGTCCAGCGGCTGAGGCTGTCCCTGCACCCCCATGGAGCAGTGTGCACACCCTCCCCTGGGAGATACCCCCTGGGGCTGCTGCTTGCTTCACCCTGCCCCCCACGTCCTCCTCTGGTGGACACGGGGCAGGGGGTGTGTCCAGGGGATGGCGAGCTTCTGGGACAGCTTGTCAGTTGCCCCTGCCCCCGCCTCGATGTCACGAAGTGTGCAGCCTCCGTGTGGGCACGGAGCATCCGGTGACCGGGTGACCGGGTGGGGCCGGCGGGTGGGCAGTGGCCGGTGTGCACCCTCTCTCCCCGTAGGTCTCGGGCCCCGACTCCTTGACCCTGGGGGAGGACAGCATCCACAGCCTGGACTTCACCTCGGAGCCCAGCCTGGACCTGCCGGACTTTGCCGCCGGTGGGCTGCACGCCCCCTACGCGCCCTCCCCGCCGCTCAGCGCCGCGGACACCTTCTCGGGGGCCCTGCGCTCCCTGAGCCTCAAGGCGGCCGGCCGGCGGGGCGGGGACCACGTGGCCCTCCAGCCCCTGCGCTCCGAGGGCGGGCCCCCCACGCCCCACCGCAGCGTCTTCGCCCCCCACGTGCTGCCCAACCGCAACGGCAGCCTGTCCTACGACAGCCTGCTGAGCCCCGCCTCGCCCGCGGGCCGCGCCTGCCCGGCCCACCCCGTGGCCGGCGGCCTGGCCGCCTACCGCTCGCCCTACCTGCACCCCGGGGACCCGCCGCGGCCCCCGCCCCGCAGCTTCAGCCCCGTGCTGGGCCCCCGGCCCCGTGAGCCCTCGCCCGTGCGCTACGACAACCTGTCCCGGACCATCATGGCCTCCATCCAGGAGCGCAAGGACCGCGAGGAGCGGGAGCGGCTGCTGCGCTCCCAGGCCGACTCGCTCTTCGGCGACGCGGGCGTCTACGACGCGCCCGGCTCCTACGGCCTGCAGCAGGCCGGCGGCGCCCTGGCCGAGGGCCCCCGGGGCCCCGCCACGCGCTACGGCTCCCGGGACGACCTGGTGGCCGGGCCCGGCGGCGGCGGCGGCTTCGGAGGCGCCCGCAACCCCGCCCTGCAGGCGTCCATGACCTCGCTGGCGTCGGCAGCGGGGAGCCGGGCGCCCAGGACCTCCTCCTCCTCCCTGCAGGCGGACCTGGCCAACAACAACGCCCCGGGGCCCCGGCCGGGGAGCGGCCCCCACCGGTCCCCCCTGCGCCAGGGCGCCCCCTCCCCGCCCCCCAGCACACCCCGCTCGCCCTCCTACGCGGGCCCCAAAGCCGTTGCCTTCATCCACTCGGACCTCCCGGAGCCGCCGCCCTCGCTGGCCGTGCAGAGGTGGGTGCTGGGGGCGCGGCGGGCTTGCAGGCAGGGGGCCGGGCGTCCGGCCGGCGGCGGGACCTCGCGGCTGAGCACGTGTGGGGTGTCCCGAAGGCCTGAGGCCGCCTGTGGGGTGGGCCTTCCCTGCCGGAGGGGGTGTGCCCCTCCAAGGACACCCTGGCATGTCCCAGGGGTGTGGCACCATCGGCACCTTAGCCTAAAGCTCCACATTCTCTCCCCCCCCCCCCCCGCCACCAAAGCCAGCACAGCCTGTGCCTGGGGTCGCCCAGGCCTCCTTCCTCAGGAGAAGGTGCTCTGTCCCCGTTCAGGGGGCTGAGCCTGGGGCACCGCACCCTGCAGCACACAGCTCCCTGCTCGGAGCTGGGGACCTGGGCCCGGAAGGGCAGGCTGGCCCAGGCCCCCCCCCAGGGGACATAGCAGCATCTTCGGGGCGTCCCCCCCCCGCCGTGAGCACAGGCCAGGGCAGGGAGTCTCGTTGTGGGTGTGACAGGCCCGGCAGGTGGCAGCTGCAGAGGCAGGGATGGCAGCTGGAGGAGGGTGGGGCTCCTGCCCTCACGCCTGGGCAGCGAGGTCGTTGCTGGGCAGGCTTTGGGGAGGGAGGGCAGCCCCTCGTTTTCCCAGGAGGCAACAGGGAAGGAGCCGCACAGTATCCCTGGGCCCCCACGCAGCTCAGGGCATCGGGATGGGCGGGACGAGGGGCTTGGCTGGTGGTGTCCCCCTGGCCGCCCCACGCCTGTGGTCTTTCTTGCCAGCAGGAGGACTGAGGGTCCCGGGGGTGTGACAGCTGTTCTGACGTCTGTCTGTCCTGTGACAGCACAGTCCTCCCCCTCTGGGCTCGGAGTGGCCGCTGGTTTTGCGAGGCGGCACCTTCCGAGCTCAGAGGCAAGGCTGCCCCAGGGCTGCGTCTGCATCATCTGTCCCGTGGCCTCGCCGGCCTGTGTCCTGCCGTGGTCGGTCCCTCGTTCACCGTGCGTCCGCATGTGTGTGTGTTTGCTTTGATGCAGGGACCACCCTCAGCTGAAGAACCCCCCGGGTAAGCTTAACGGGCAGTCCCCGGGCCTGGCCCGCCTGGGGCCCGCCGCCGGCCCCCCGGGCCCTGCCGCCAGCCCCGCCCGGCACACGCTCGTTAAGAAGGTGTCCGGCGTGGGCGGGACCACGTACGAGATCTCCGTGTGAGGAGTGACAGCCGCCCGCCCGCCCGCCCGCCGTGGCACACCACGGGGACCTGGACCACCCCCGGCGGCTGCCCCCACCTCCCCCCGACCCCTCTGCCCTGACAGAGGCGGCGGCCCGGCAGGGGTGGACGCAGCGGCAGGAGAGGGAACCACGCCTCCATGCGTCTGTCCCTCGTCCTCCTCCTGTCCACCCCCTTGTCTGCTCGCCGGGGTGGGGCCGGGCCCCGGGCCACCGGCTGCAGGATCTGGGCCTAGAGGGTCGCCGACCGCATCTGTGTGGACCGCACCCATGTCCCCTCGATGGCCCACTCTCGGCCCGCAGCCGCCCGGCTCCAGGGCTCCTCTGGGGTTTTGACGGACAGGTGGATGGACAGACGGACAGACTGCCAGCTGTGGGTGGAGGTCCTGGCTCCGTGTGTCCCGTCTCTCTCGCCCCGCCGGCGGGCGTGTCCCCGTGTCTATGCGCTGAGCTGCCATGCCACGTCCCACGCCCCCCTGCCGGGAACCTCGCTGTCATTGAAGCCTTAACCTCTGCTTTATGCTCTGTGGTGGCACCGGGGGCCGGTGGGAGCCGGCACAGGCCGGACGCGGCACGGGGGGGCCACTGGGACCGGAGTCCACCCCCTTCCCTGCCACACGAGGCGGCCCTGCCCCAAGGCGTGCAGAGTCGGGGCGCCAGAGCCCCCGCGTCTGCGTGGGAAGCACACGGGGAGGTGGGGGCGGGCGGGGGCGGAGCTCTGCCTGGCGCCAGGGACCTGAGAGTAAGCACACAGCAGCGTTGGCTTGCGTTGTGTCTGTTTTATGTTTTTATATCTACATCTATATATCTCTAATTTTATTAAAAAAAAAGAAAAAGAGTCATTTCGATCCTTTCCTTGAGCAAGGCCAGGGCTGTTGCTGGTACTCGGGGGCTCTGGGGGTGGGGGGGTGGAGGGGGGCGGGGAGCCGTCCCGGCTGGGGAGCGGTGGAGGCCGGCAGCATGGGGTCGGACGTTCTGCGCGGGCATTTCTGCTGACTTAAGCGGAGCTGGAAGCCTGGGAGGTGGGGGCCGGCCCACGGGTCTTTGGCTGACGAGCGTGCGGCTCCCCTGGGTCTGCGTCATTCCTGGCAGCAACAGGGCTTTTGGAGAAAGGCTGGGGCTGCAGCTGCCCCCCGGGGGGGCCCCCCAGGAACCCAGGGCCTCGCAGGAGGTGGAGGAGGGGGTGCATACGGGCTCCCCTGCTGGCTGGGGGCCCTGTGGGGGCTGTTGCCATGACCTGGATTCGCTGGGCCCCTCACCTCTGCCTGTTAAATAGGGGGTACGGGGGTGGGGGGGGGAGGCATCGGGAATGCACAGCTTTTCAGGACTCAGAGAGGGGGAGGCGGGGGTCGGCCCCCCGTGCGGGGAGGGGGGTGTCCCCCAGACCTTGGACCCCTGCCCCGGTCAGCCTTACGCTGACCTCCACCTTTCTGCTTCTCTCTCACGGGACGCTGCGACCTGCAGGGGGCGGATCGGCACTTATAGCTGCGGATGGGGGCGCCGGGGCCTGTCCGGGGCGCCCCCCGGCCTGCACCTGTGCCACCTCGGCCTCCCCGAGGACCGCCCGCTGCTGCAGGCCCCCTGGAGCCCCGCCGCGGGCCTGCTTCCCCGAGGAGCCGTGTGCCGCCTGCGCGCGGCGGCCCCCGGCCTGGCCCCCGGCCTCGCGGGGCCCGAGCGGGACGCCTCGTAGGCGCCTGCGGGGCCGTGGGGAGGCCCGGCGGCCACGGGCCCTGGGGTGCGGGCCGACGGGCCCAACCCCGACGGACGTCCCCGCCCACCGGGGTCCGTGACCAGGGGCCCGCCCGCCTCAGGAAGGTCCCAGGGAGTCCAACGCCCCCCAGGCGGGGCCCGGAGCCGCTGGGACCCGCACGGCCTTCCTAGGGCGTCACACCATCACCTGACCTCCCCGCCTGACCAAGCACCTTAGACGCCCCTTCCTCCCCGGGAAGCCCGGGCCCCTGTGGAAGGCTGGGCTGGGCTGGGCTGGGGCGGGGCGGGTCTCAGGTTGTCCTGCAGGTCGCCGCCCTCGCCCCTCCCTGAGCCCAGCGCAGATGCCTTAATGCCCCGGAGCCACCAGCCTGCCCAGCCTCTGCCCAGGGGGCCCGCCCGGCCCTGGCCCTGCCCGCGGTCTCCGCTCCTCCGCTCTGAGGCGGACGCCTGTGCGCTCGGCCCCTTTCCCTGCTTCCGTGACGGCTCTGCCTCTCCTGCGTGGGGGTGAGCAGGCTGCAGAGCTCCTATCGTCCTAGGAGGTATTCCTTAACGCCCTCAATAAAATGCTTGGTGTCCACCTCCACCGCTCTGTCCACCAACGTGGCTCCGCCCCTGTCCTCTGGGTCCTGGGCAGTGCCAGGAGGCTGGCTGGACAGGGACCTTGGGTTGAGGATGGCACAGGAGTGGGGCGGGCAGTGGGGGCCGGGTGAGTGTGGGGAGCTTTGGGGGAGTCTCCTGGACAGGACCTGAAGTGAGGTGAGAGGTAGGAGGCTCAGGCTGAGAACCCCCACCCCCCCCACCCCCGAGGAGGGTGGAACCCTGGGGATGCCCAGTCCTCACTCCGTGGGGAGACCCTCCTGGCCACACCCTCCGCTCAGGGCCCTCTGGGTGCCAGGGGCAGACTGGGGGCTTGCTGTGGAGGGGCCGCCACTGAGCGGGCGGGTGGGGCACGAAGGCCGAGATGGGGTGCCACCCTGAGGGGCCCCCTACTTTCAGAGTAGCTCCAGGCTGCAGCCAGGGTCCCCCCATCTCCATGGAGACAAGCTCAGACGCCGTGTGTGTCACCACTGTATGTCCAGCCGCACGCAGGTCCGGTCCCTCAGGACAGACCCCGCGCCCCCGTCTCCGAGGCTCCGGAGGGACGGTGTGCCGCTCTGGTCCCAGCAGGGCCGCGGGCGGGGACGGGCGGGCGGGCGCGGCGGCTGGGCGGCTGGGCGCCCGGGCTCCCGGGGCCGTGCTGGCCGCCTGCCGCCTCCGCGGGGCCTCCAGCCTAGAAGGGCAGGAAGTCGTCCACCTCAAGGCGCAGGAAGGGGCTCAGCAGGGCCCGGAGCTTCCAGACGGCGGCGCGGCTCAGCAGGGGCGGCACCAGCCCCTCGAAGGGCGTGGGGTCCACCACGTACACGTAGGCGGCGGTGCAGGCCAGCAGGGCGCCCAGCAGCAGCCTCAGGGCCAGCAGCCTGTGGGCGGCGGCGGTCAGGGGGCAGGGGCACCCGGGGGGCGGCCCCGGGCCGGGGGGGGGGAGGTGGGGGGGCGGGACCGGACTCTGCCCGCACACGCATGCGCCACCTACCAGAGCTGGCCTCGGAAGCCCTCGGAGCATCCCAGCTGGGGCAGCACCTTCTGCAGGGGGGCCGGGAGCTAGTCAGAGCCTGCCCTTCCCTGTGGGATCTGGGTGCTGTGTTTCTGCCCCCCATGCCCAGGATGGGCACCTGCAGCCGTGTCGTCTCCCCGCTGAATCTGACCCCGTGGCTCCTGGGGGGTCGGCCACCCTGGGCCTCTTCCATTGCAGCCCTTCCTCCCCCGCCCCACTCCCTCCCAGTTCGGCCTTTGGGGTGGGAAACGGGGGGGGGGGGGAGGGGCGGGGCTTACTGATAAGCACAGGTCCTTCCTTGCCTGGGTGCGGCACTGGGCGCGGTCCCTGGGGGAGGTGTCGTACCGTCAGGGCCACGGGCGCTCCCTACGCCAGCCTGGCACGGCCCCTGGTCTGGTGCCACCGAACCAGGGAGGGGTTGGGGATTGGCGCATCCCATCCTGAACAGGACGCGGGCACCGTCCCGGCTCAGTGAGCCACGCCCGCCCCCCACCAGCCCCCCCGGCCGCACAGATCACCCCAGAATCTCCAGCTGGATGTCCTCCATCTGGTCTAGCACGCCCCGGATGTCCTTCTTGAGGTTCTAGGGGACAGAGGGGGGGGGGTCAAGAGCCCTCCACCCCTGACCCCATCATCGCCCTGCCTCACCACCCACTCATTTCCTGCCTGCCCCCTCCCCTCGGTATGGCTCTCTTGGGGACCTACCTGCAGCCCGGTGGCCTGGTTGTTCAGGGCCATGTGTACCTCGGCCACACCATCCCACACCTGGCGGGGAGAAGGCGGGGTCAGGCCCCCAGGAGGTGCCCTACCACGGGGGGGGGGGGGGCCCGGCGCCTCTCCCACCCTGGGCGGGCGGGCACCTCGGTGATGGCCATCTTCTTCCTCTCGAAGGACAGCCGGATCTGCTGCAGCTCGTTCTGGGGGAGGAGCGTGGGATGGCGTGTGGGCGGAGCCGGGGGGGGGGCGGCTGCAGGAAGGTCCGGCTTCCCCCCGCCCCCCCCGCCCGGCCCCGGCGCCCACCTGGGACTGCTGCACGAAGGACTCCTCGCCCCGGCACAGCTCCTGCCGCAGCAGCTGCAGCGGTGCCCTGTCCTCCAGGGGCCGGGCGCCGGCCTGCTCCCGGGGCTGCGGGAGAGCCGGGGGTCAGCCTCCAGGCTGTGGGCGGCCCCCGGGGGGCCGGGGACCCCGTGGGGCCCGGAGCGGAGGGCGTGGCGGCGTCGCAGGGCCAGTCCTGGCAGGCGCCAGGGTCCTGCGGGGTCCCGGCCGCTGCCAGGTGGGCACTCACCCAGGTCAGGGCCGTGCAGCCCGAGTGCTCCGGGCACAGGGACAGGAAGTGCCGCTCTGGTCCCAGCAGGGCCCCCAGCTGCTCTCGCAGGTCCTGGTTCTGTCTTTTCTGGGGGCGGGAGGAGGCAGAGGTGGGGCAGCCCGCCTCGGCCGGTGGCCGTTTCTCGGGCAGGAGACGTGAGGCGCCGGGGCCGGGGCCGGGGCGGGGGCTGCAGGGCACGGGGCTGAGGAGGCCCAGGAACAGCTGTGAGCTCCCCGCACAGACAGGCGCCGAGCGAGCCCTGGCTGGCGCCTCACTCACCAGCTTCTGGTTCTCCTGCTCCAGCTGCAGGAAGGACTGCTCCGCAGGCCCCCCGGGCCCGCTCTGGAGCTGGGGGGAGGCTGGCCTGGGTGGGGCTGGGGTCCCTGCCCCCGGGGACAGGTGCTGGCACGGGAAGGGCCTGGGCCCCGTGCTGGGGGGTCCTCCCTGCCTGGACGGGCCCTGCTCCCTTCCTGAGTGCAGGGGCCAGCCCCACTCCAGCCCTGCCGCCTCCATCGGTCCTGGCCTCGCCCCCGCCGGGTCCCGGGGCCTCTGTCTCTGCATCTCTCCCTCTTCGCTGGCGATAAAGCCCTCGGGTCCTTCACTGCCTACGCTGGGCCCGCAGCCCGCTGCCCCCGGGGCTGGGAAGGTTCCGGAAGACTCCACCGAGTGGGTGGAGCTGAGAGGCACCAGGCAGGGCCACCTCACAAACCCCTGGCAGGGTGGCGGCTCCAGGCAGCCTCCGTGGCTGCTCGAAGTCGAGGGCTGGGAGCACTGGGGGTGGGCGTGGCCACAGGGTCCCAGGGTTTTCGGTCCCTCCATGCTTCCCTACGACCCCTTCCTGACCCCAGGTCCAGGCTCCGGCCTGGCCCGACCTGCCGCCCTCTGACTGAGGGCCCTCCGGGGGGCCCTCCGGGGTCACAGCACCCAGGGCCGCCGCAGGGCCTTGGTCACAAAGGCCTGGGCTCAGCCAGGGAGGTCACAATGGGCCGGGCGGTGGCCGGAGCCTGGCAGGCAAGGCCCCTCCCTCCAGGTATCCCTGTCCCCGAAGTGCCCACCTCTGGTCACCCCTCTGCATCCTCACCCCACCCACCCAGCTACCCACCCACCCAGCTACCCACTCCACCCTCCACCCAGCCACCCACCCACCACCCACACAGCTATCCACCACCCAGCCACCCACCCACCACCCACCCAGCTACCCACCCTCCACTCAGCCACCCACCCACCACCCACACAGCTACCCACCCACCTAGCTACCCACCCCACCGCCTTGGCTATGTTCTTAAAACGTAGACCATACTGCAGACACATGGTTAAAACAAAATCAAACAACAAGCGAGGTGTCTGGTGTGATCCTTCCTCACGAGGGAGGATCTAACTCTCTATTCCTCTCCCTTTCTCTCTGTAAAAAATCAATAAAATATATTTTAAAAAAAGAAAAAATGTTTTTATTGATTTCAGAGAGGAATGGGGAGGGGAGAGAGAAAGAGAGAGAGAGAGAGAAGAGAAATACCAATGATGAGAGAGAATCTTTGATCGTCTGCCTCCTGCACGCCCCACACGGGAGACTGAGCCCGAAACCCGGGCCTGTGCCCTGACCGGGAATCGAACTGTGACCACCTCGCCCGCCGGGAGCCAGTAAGTCCTTAACGCATTGGCACCAGGGGGCCCTGGAAGGATGGCCCCACAGGCGGCCAGTGCGCCGAGCCCTGGACTAAACTTGTTTTCGCCCCTCTGGCTGGGAGTGGCGTGCCCCAGGGGGAGAGATTAGGAGGCTCCTCTGGGGTCTGAGAGCTGCTCTCTGACCTCACATTTGCTGATTTGCTGGTTGTTTTCCCCCCGGAGTGCGAGGGGGGCCGTGGTCCTCCGAGCAGCGGGCTTGGCTGCTGGTCTTGGAAAGTCCAGCCACCGGTTTCCGTGGCCGGTGCCTCTCTTTTGTCCTCTATTTTCAGAGCGTCTTATTCTGTTTTGGGAAGGAAGTGGGTTTTTGGAGGGAGGGCCTTTTGTGTCCTTCTTTCTTTTCTCTCTGTGGCTCATTCTTTCTATTCGTCCGTAGGCCTTCCTACTTATTAGACGCTGTGCAGGGAGGAAGGAGAGAGCGGGCTGGCGCCTCCCTCCGGCCCCTGGAGGGCAGGCCCCCCCCTCCCCGACGGCGGGCGGAGGTCTGCTGGCTGCAGTTAGCTCTGGGCGTGGAGCAGGAGGCTTGGCGGGTGTGCCCGAGGGAGCAGTCATGTGTCACCCGCTCGCCCTTAGAGGTGTTGGGTGGTCAAGCTGCCCCCTAACCAGCCCCCCGGTTCCCGCCCTGCCCCATCCACACCCAGGCTGCCCTGCGAAGCCAGCCTCCACCTCCCTCGGAATGAAGGGGCCTCGCTCCTGTCCTCTTTGCTGGGCAGGCGGTGGACACACTGCAGGGACCCCCGTGTGTCCGGGGCTCCTGGATGACACTGGTGCCCCGGCCCCACCCATTGCCGCCTCCCTCTGCCGCTCACCAATGGCAGAGGCGTGTGCACTGTCCACTGGCCGTGACTGGCTGGCACATGTGGGCCCGGCCCCAGGAGTCCCTGCCTGGGTGGCCTCTGCAGTCCCCAACAGCAGGCTCTGGCAGGGGAGGGGTCGGGGTGGGAGGTGAGCATGGACCTGGAGCCAAGTTCAGGCACCAGCTGCCCTCGGAAATGCCAGTCCGGGGTGGTGGGTCTGCTCAGCCACCCACAGAGGAAGGAGCCCCTGGGCCCTCCCTGGCCTTGGCCTTGCCATTCTTCTAGAATCTCATGGGTGTCAGGCTGGGCTCAGCCCAGAGCACCCCTTGGGGGACACTGCAAGTGGGGGCCAAGGAAGGCCTCTTGGCTGACACCCGAGGTGAGGCAGCCACGGAGGGGTGAGCCAAAAGCCCTGGGCGGCTGTGTGGTGCAGAGGGGGCAGTGCCCCTGGGCCCGCCAGATGCCAGCAGTGCCTGGAAGGCCCATGGGGAGAGGCGGTCCTCATGGAGACGGTTCCTCACGGTCCCCATAGGAACAGCAGCCGTAACACAGGCAGCCTGGGGATGGGGTGTGTGTGTGTGTTTGTGTGTGGGAGGGGTGCCTCCTGCCTCCCCAGGGGCAAAGGCCCAGCTGAGAGGCCCAAAAGCAGGGGCAATCTCAGGCGGGCTTGAGGAGATGCCTGGGGCTCCTGGATGACACTGGTGCCCCGGCCCCACCCACTGCCGCCTCCCTCTGCCGCCCGGGACCCTGGGGATCCTTCCTTCCTGGCAGCAAACTCCGAGCTGCCTGATGCACCCCCTCCCCCCATTTAAAAAAATATATATTTTATTGATTTTTTTTTTATTTACAGAGAGGAAGAGAGAGGGATAGCTAGAAACATCGATGGTGAGAGAGAAACATCGATCAGCTGCCTCTTGCACACTCCCTATCGGGGATGTGCCCACAACCAAGGTACATGCCCTTGACTGGAATCAAACCTGGGACCCTTCAGTCCCCAGGCCGACGCTCTATCCACTGAGCCAAACCTGTATCGGCAAGCCTGGAGCTCTTAAGCAGGGCTTGGGCCAGGGAACAGGGACCGGAGCCCCACCCCCTTCCTGCCCTGAGCCAAGCACACCTGCCTGGATCCGCGGTGGCCTTGACAGTCAGCGCCCCGCACTCATTTCCGAAGCTGAGAAATGGGTTTGGAGCAGAGGGAACTCGGGTCGCCGGGCCAGCCGTGGCCCCTCAGGAAAAGTCCTGCCTCTGTGCCTCCAACCCAGGCTCCTGGCCCAGATCCCCCGCCTGTCGTCCTCAGAGTCCCCGGTGTGTCCCTGAGGCCCCCCAGGCTCCCTGGAGCCACCGGGCTGGGGTTCCCCCTTACCTGGGCCTTCAGGTTATTCCTGACCCTCAGCCCCCTGCCGGGGCCTGGGGATGAGCTGTCCTTTGTGCTGAGTGTCACGCACGGGGGGTGACCTGTGGCTGGGCCTCCCAGGTACCCCCAGATCCTCAGCCAGGAGGATGGGCAGATCTGCCGTGTATGATGGTGTGAGAGACGGGGAGTGACACCCCATCCCGGGGCCAGAAGGCAGGCACACACCTTGTTCCCTTCCCAGCCTGGGGCGCAGCCCTGCAGGACGGAGACCTGGCTGGGTGGGCCCTGGAGGTGGGGGTGCAGGTGAAGGTCAGAGGAAGGCCAGGGGCTGCGCCCTGAGGGGCACCCGGGTGGCCCCATTTCCGGGGCTGAGGCTGGGGCTGGGGCTGAGATGGGGTCGTGCTCCGGGTCCCCCCTGTCCCCGGTGTGTCTGACCGGTCCTGGGGCACGGGCCTCAGCAGGCCGTTTGTTTTCCCTTCCCGGTGACTCTCCGAAGACCGCTGCTCGTTTTTTACTTAAGAATCAGGGAGATAATAGGAATGTCAGGGAAACCCTCCCGGGGACGCACACAGCACCGATAAATTACAGCAGCCGGGCGCCGGGGACGCCAGGCCGGCAAGGTGGCCGTGCTGGGGGCTGCCGAGGCTCCTGTGCTCCAGGATGGGTGACAGGGTGTGCCCACCCTGCATGGGCCCAGAGACACCCGCCCCCCTTCCCCAGAGGACCCCAGCCAGGTCTGTGCACCCACTTCTCAGCATCCCTACGCTCCTCTGGCCCCGCTGGATAGACAGCGGTGCCTGGGGAGCCGGCGTGGCTGGAGCGGCCGACGGTCAGTGCCAGGGTCACCTGACCAGACCCTCACTGGGCCCAGAACCCAGGATGCCTGCCCACGTTGCTCTTCACTCTCGGGCCCAAACCAGCTCCTCCTGGGAATGGACCGGTGTTGGGCCATGAGCTCCTGGAGCCCGTCCCTGCACCCCGGAAACAGGCCCAGCGGGGTTGAATGAGAGGCTGGGTGCCAGGTGAGGGGCAGAGACCTTGAGTGGCCACAGGTGGCTAGTGTCCCAGTGGCCCTTGGAACCAATGAGCTCAGGCCATCAGGACTGCGTGCCCTCGCCCTCTCTGGGGAGGCCACGGTGTGTGGGTTCCAGGACTCACCACCAGATGGCGCCACAACCCCGCAGACCGGCTGCAGACTGCGCTGGACCGAGTGAGTACCCCTGACAGTCCCTGGGATGGAGGAGCAGCCAGCGCTGGCTCCGTCCTGATTGGAGCTTCCAACGAGGTAGGAACAGTCCCGGGGGTTTGGGGGGAAGCTCTCACCCAGATTGGATCTGCGGTTGGCTTGTTACTCTCACCCCACTGTTCGCACTAGCACCCCTCAGGGCCCCTTGCCTAACCCCCTCCCCGTGCTGTCTTGTCTGTCTGCCAGTGGGCAGGTGGTGTGAGGGCATTTCACTGCTGGTCCTTGGTGTGAAGGTGGGTCAGCCGAGTCCCGCCTGCGAATTCGAACCCGTGCAGCGAATTTGGTCCACAGCCTGGGCCAGCGTCCACCCAGTTTAAAGGTGACCCGCCAGCCCACCCAGCGAGAGGCACCATCACTTCCCCCACTAGCTAACTCCGACCAGCACACCCACCCACCTACCAGCCAGCCAGCTTACAAACTGGCCAACAGCTGGTCCCCCCTCCCGCTCCCTGCCTGCAGGACAGCAGCTCCCAGTGCCTGACCCTGGGACGCCATGCTAAGGTGACCAGACGTCCAGTCCCGATTTTTAACCATTTGTCCCGCGTCCCACGGCGGCGTTTTAAAACAGTCCCAAAGCAGGACGTCTGGTCACCTTACATGAGACCCCCCCCAGGTGTCCATCGCAGCCCGCTGGCCAGGTGGCTCCCTGGAGCCAGCTTTGGCCAACAGGAGTGGGGGGCAGGGGTTATCTCCTGCGCCCGTCCCACCAGGCCTGGTCACTGCTGGCCCTCTGACTGGCTTC